CATGTCATGGCAACGAACTTCGAATTCCTCTGATATGGTCGGCTGCGCGACCTGACCTCACAATGATGCACTGCACGCAGCACCCTGCAACACCTCTGCGAGGACGTTGATGCTCGGCCTCTACAAACAATTTACTCAAACTTGAAACCGAGACTAAGATCCCTAATTGAGGTTCTCGACTTCCACTGAGTCCCCACATAAATGTGAGTGATGAATGCCTTGAGTCTGTTTTAGCCCTGGAGGCGGATGAAGTGGTGGTCGTGGAAGGCCCGGTAACAATCTCCTCACGATTCACGGTGTAGAGCTTGGAATTGGAACAAATGTTTAGGTTAGAGGCTTTCTTTCGGTTCGAGGCTTGCTGTTTTCTAAAAGTCAACTCTCAAGACGATGATGGTCATCATGATCGTGATGGGTACCTCATTGATGAAGGATCCTACAGGCAGGTCAAGGTTGCTTTCGCCTTCGATGAATGTCTTAAACGAGCACGCCAGGGAACCGATCCCGTTACTGCGAAGAGGGCGCCTTTCCTACGGTTCGAGCGGATTTTTGGACGGCCGCTATTCAAAAAGCAAAAGCGATCCTGGTGCCTGCATTCCGGGTCGTTGTTCTGAGGGCCCTCTTAACACAGGGATCATTCGGAATGGATTTCTCGACGAGGTGATCCTGACCCCCAAAAGGAGCCCCAGTGCGAACGAAATGGTGCGAACAAGTTCTGTAACGATTGGGTTGGTCGTTGTTGCGATTGCCTGTGAACCTCCACTTCGGCGCTTGCTAGCTGGGATTCTTCAGAGGTCTGCGACAGTGACCGACAACAGAGCTTGTAGCATTCATTCCCTTTGTCAGTCTACGAAGCCATCGAAGCCATGAATCCCAGACCTGGGCAGATCAAGCAATAATGAACTGACTACAGCACAAGCGAAACAGTCTTCACGCCATTCAACTTCAAGTGCAGGGCTGACCCGCTCCTGGCCGTTCCGGGGCTCGGCAAGAGTGACCGAAACTGCTGGCGGTGAAATCACGAGTGCCATTCTCGCTGCATGTCGTCTGTAGTGTTTGGCTTTCTGAGCCGAGGAGTTGCACAGTTAGGAGAATGGGTCGGAATAAATGATAGTCTATTCCCTTGAAAGTCCCCATGTAAACCATTTTCAACACATACATACCCCGCAACCCTAGTCTTGTTATCATGGCCCCCCACATTATGCCGGCTTGATTTCCTCTGCAGTCGTTCTCGACATTTTTCCGTGGCTTTCTGACAGTAGCCGGGTGCTGCAGATGTTTCAGGCTCCATGCGCCGTAGACGTGGATTGCAAGAAGTCGCAGACTATCACCGCCGCATTCAACTCCAAAGTTCGCAACTGCAAGGATGCTTTGCACCACTTTCAGGGTAACAACTTCTCGTCTAAAGCCACCTTAGGACAGCCGTTGAGCTTGAGATTGAGATCACTGCATCTACTGCAGCTATGGCATCGCAGGCCAACAGACCGGTCTTATTGAATTTGCCGTAGATTCATGGAGCCGACTGAAAAAGCAGAAAAGCATTCAGCAAGGCCTGCACCCCGAAAGCCACCTCAAAGGTGTCGGTCCCGGCCTGGTCGACGGAGTTGCAGCTATTCCCGCGATCCCCATTTCCGGAATGGGGATGTGGTTGCTTTATGAAATTTAAAGCTTCATTGCCATGAGATCGAAGAGCAAAGCCCTCGATGTTTACTCAAGGTCCTGAGCCCGAGGTTTAAGCCTGCTCCCCTAAGATCTCAAGCCTGACTTTCTACACTGCGAGCGCCATATTGCTCTTTTGTTGCCCTAACTGCCCCTCCTGGTCGTCCGGAAGAAATGCTGCATGTTGTTCACTTGCCTCAGACGGCCGTTCGGCAACTGTGAGCCAACGGGCCTATACCACCCCTCTCCACTGCGGCCGAGTTCCCGCCAAGTGGACCCGATTATGGAACCCTAGCCCCCTTTAAAGCGGACTCCGTTATAGAACCCTATTAGAATCAAACGACATAAAACGACCCATTGTGGAATCCACTTTTTATTCCCTTTCCGCCTGTGCGGGTCGCAAAAGTGCAGACCTGTTCTTTCGGAAATCTGGTAAGAAGCAATCTCCCTTTGTTTGATGGGCAAACGCCTCATGCCTTTAAGACGGTGGGGCAATTTAAACAAACAACATTTGTACCCGGATGTGACAACTGGGGCAGGCAGTGCAGTCGGCAGAGAGCAGTTGGTGGTAAATGTTTGCGGATTGGTCCACGCGCGACCCATAAGACGGTCCAACTGCAGTACTCGAGACCCCCGCTCGATCTGGTTTTCCTCGATCCTTGCTCAAGAGACAACCCGCAGGAAGCCGCCAAAGGTGCGGGCAGCGGAAGGACAGAGAGCTTAGGTGATATTAGCAGTCAGCAGCGATGCTAACCTGCAGCTCATTGATATTTGCAGACGTCGGCCATCCTTGCATGAATGTTTCGATTTTGATCAAGAGTTCTAGTGGAATGGGGAACGGCGCGGCATCATGCTAAACGTGTGTCATATGTTATACGGCATTATGACCATATATATATACACACACATACACATACGCACATATAAATATGTGTACATATATATATAATATATATATATATATATATATATATAGCACAGACTTGTAAGCACCTTGTAGGCAAGATCTAGGCGCCATGGTTGTCGCATGTGGTCATGTTCGCAAGGAAGGGTTCTCACCATAATGTTTCGTCTGATTCGCGCGTGAGTGTCCAGATCATGATGGTATGGTGCTTAGTAGCTTTTTTTACCCGCCGCGTTCATATGGACAAGGTTTGGCATACATGTTTCGAAGTAAGCGGTCCTGTGACACCGGCTAATTCGCGGCTTTGGTTCAACACTTCAATGTATTCAATCGGTCAGTCAACGCTTTCGCGGGCGCCAGGAGTGCAGGATTTCTCTCGCAATGCATGACTGTGCCTTGGACGAGGCCAGCTGGTTGGAAGCAAGCTTAAGGATGGGATTCGGGCTCACTGGCATATGGAAGTTAGTTGTTTGGGTTGAGGGTTGGGAGGTGGGACGTGTACAGAGCGCTCCGGTCCTGAACGAAAGAACTGTTCGATGCGGGTCTCAGCAAGTGCTTTCCGAGTTCAGAGATGCCATGCACTTAGGTCTCCGTCGAATCTCATGAATTTCGCTCCTTGCCCAAGCACGTACGTCTGGTCAGCTTGCGGGCAACACCGGCAGCCGTAATAGAATGCCACTGAACCGAATCCTGATGCCAAACACCTCTCGAACAGCTCGAGCCTTTAGCTCTTAGTGACGCAGTTACGATTCCATCCACAATAGATACAAGCAATGTCTGATCACTACGGCTTGCGCTCTTATCGTCTGTATATGCGGATATCATGGTCCATCACTTTTTCTGTCGTGCTGCGGCTCCTGCTCTGTCAGGCTCAAAGTTTGGGGCCCGGCTCTTGTGCTCTTCGCCATCACTGCGGCCGCTGCGCGAAGCCCCAGAGTCAGGGCACTGCTTCAGCGGTTGATTGAAGTTGCGGTAGTTAGCAGAAGCAGCGAGCGGCAGCAGCTGCAGGCTGCAGCCTTTTTCTCGTTGCCATAGTCGTCATCAGCGGAAGTGCATGGCTATGTTCAATGCAGTTTTCCAGAGTTGCACATATTTCACGGCGTCCTTCTTGCATGCTCCGACGACACGCTCATTTCCGCCGGGCGGCTCCCAAGAGTCGACTTTCGGAGTCTGTCCTGTCTGCAAAAAAGACTGCGAGCTGCCAGGCGGTCACTCCAAGCTGGCCCGTATGGTTTTGGTACCATCCTGCTGCGATGTCTCTTTGCTGCACTTGTCGGTTGGGACCTTCCTGAAGCCTAGAGACCCAGGCAGATACACAAATTGCAAAGCCTGAACTTGAACTACTTGAACCTTTGTCGAAGGTGGTTTGGCTGTTATGTGATCAGGTCCGAGGAAGAACGTTCTGGCTGTCACAGGCTAGGCTACGTAGGTCTGACAATACATCCCCCAAGAAGCTTGGACCCCGAGACCAGTTGGTTTGAGGACGATAAGTCATCAGTTGAATGACAGCTGCTGTGTTACAGACACAGACGCTTCGGAAGCCTTTGTGTCAAAAAGGGCGTCTACGTCTACGTACTCGGCAGGACCATGTCCGGATTCGCGGCCCTTGTCGCGAAGTCCACCTTTTTCAGAATCAAAGGTTGAATGGTGGTAGTAGTAGTGGTAGTAGTAGTGGTAGTAGTAGTAGTAGTAGCAGCAGTACCACTAGTAGTTGTTGTTGTAGTGGTGGTAGTAGTAGTCGTCGTCGTAGTAGTATAGTAGTAGTAGTAGTAGTAGTAGTAGTAGTAGTAGTAGTAGTTCCAGAAGATTCCAGAAGTACCAGTACGAGTACTATACTTTTAGTGCAAGTGCTGCAAGTGTTTGATCTGGTACAGTATCATGTCAAAATACGAGTTGTATAAGTATACGCTGCTAGGAGCTTTGACTCACCAGACATTCTGCTAGGCTGGTGGGCTACGTGGCTTTGATGGGCAACGCGGTTCTCGTCAAGAAGATAGGTGGTGCGGCGCTCACATTCGCATGGAAGACAGCAGGGACCAAGGGCCAAGCATGTAGTTAGCTCTGTTATACAGGGCTCCCATGCTTCATTTATGTTCCACCAGGGGCTGTCCATCTCCTGGTATCAGGATGGGCAAGTCGGAGTGTATTTCAGTTCTGCTTTGTTCTGCTCATGCAATGCGGCCAAGAGCTCGCGGAGTAAATCCGAGCAGACACGACTCGGCTCGATTTTGTGGCATCTCGCGGTGTTGACAAACTCGCGGTAAGCAGGCGATATGGCTCGCATGATCGTGAAGCATGGGAAAACCTCTACACCAAATCTCGCTTAGCATTGAACCTAGACCCTTAGGCAGAATCTAATGAAGATGGCTATGCGGCTGAAGAAATCCCTGGCTCAAGTGTGCTGTGGCTGCTATAGATTCTGTACGCCACATTGCTCGCAATGAGCGTGCACCCGGCCGATGGCGCCAACACTGGCGGTGCACGAGCCCCAGAACCCCCGCTTGTGAAGAAGGCGTGGACCCAGCCAGATCCATCACCAGCGGCGCCCCACGATGAACCGCCAGCCTTGGGTGTGGAGGAGCACACTGCGCCGCTCAATCAGAAGCCTAAACGACGAGCGTCGCTGACAGCGCTGCTCCCGCACGCATCGCCAGTGACCTCATCCGTACAGCACCACAGGAGTGGAGCAAGTGTGGGAACACTCTCATGGAATTTGCTCCTCCCGCTGACTCCCAAGAGCAGCGGAAGGACCTCGTCCTCCAGCCAAGATCTTCCTGAGGCATGCCATGGTGGGCTCTCAAGGAAGTGTTCCGTCTCTCACCCTGCAGTGCTCGGGGCCCAGAACCACGACGATGACTCCCAGCAAGATGTCGCAACGGTCGTGTCAGTCGCGGTGAGGCCGGACCTCGTCGACGTAAACCTGATCATCATCGGGAGTTGTGGCGAGGCCGTAGAGCTTCTCAGAAGGCGGCGAAGGGAGGGGGGTAGGGCGTTGTTGCTGTGGACCAACCGACCCCAGCAAGCATGCATCAAAGACAAGCCTTTGAATGGGAATCTGCGAAGTGCGAAGCTGAATATGGACAGCTTCGTATGGAACCCTGCTCCAGCCAGCGACCCTGCCTCTCCAGTGGTTCATCGGATGAGGAGGCAATATGGTTGTGCAGCGGTTGGCATGAGTCGCTTTGGACCTGACATCCTGGACCTCAGGGATGTCGAGTGTTATCGTGTGAAGGTCGATGACTCCGGTTGCGAATGTGGCATCGAGGTCTATAACGAAATGCGAGGCAACTTGCTGTGGGCTATGTCAGGTGGGGTTGTATCAAAAAGCATGCGTGTAGGATTCATGGAAGAAGTCACCGCAGTGTCGGCGAACGTAAGTCTGGCATGTAAAGCAATAAAAAGGAATAAAAGCCGTAATGTCACATCTGTTCTGGTTGCTGTATTATATCCTGGCAGACAGGCGCGAGCAAAGAGTGTTACCACTTAAGACAATAGAACGATAACAGAACGGTAAATAAAACGATAACGTTGAGTTCACCAGAGTGGCTTTGTGAACCCGTGGGCACATTGCCAACCAAAATACCACCACCACCACTACCACCACCACCACCGCCGCCACGACCACCACCACCACCACCACCACCACCACCAGCACCACCACCACCAGCACCACCACCACCACCACCACCACCACCACCACTACCAGTCACTACCACCACGACTACTACTACTACTGCTGCTACTACTACTACTACGACTACGACTACTATTACTACCACTGCTCCTACTACTACTACTACTACTACTACTACTACCACTACCACTACCACTACCACTACCACTACTACTACTACTACTACTACTACTACTACTACTTCTTCTACTACTACTACTACTATTATTACTACTACTACTACTACTACTACTACTACTACTACCTCTACTACCTCTACTACTACTACGACGACTACTACTGCTACTATTACAACGCCACGACCACTACTACGACGACTACGACGACGACTACTACTACTACTGCTACTACAGCTACTACAGCTACTACTACCACTACTACTACCACTACTACTACTACTACTACTACTACTACTACTACTACTACTACTACTACTACTACTACAAGTACAACTACAACTACTACAACTACAACAACAACTAGGAAGGCGTTGCGTCTGCCGCCGAGCGGGGTGTGTCGTTTATGTTGGGGAGTTTTTTTGCTCAAAAAGCTAGAAACCCCGCTATTTGCGTGGTTTTCATCAACAAGATGATATTTTGTGGAGTTCTTTGTCTTGTGATTTAGGTCTGGTTTTTTGCGAAAGTATTGCAAATACCACGTTTTTCGTGTTTGATGTATGTTGATTTCCTGCGAAAATTTGAAGTTTTTGTGTGGAAAGCTTGAAAAAGCTCGAGGTTTTTGCATGGTGGACGTTTCCAAAGTGAAGCAACAAGAAACGGGAAGCACCAAGGGACATAGCAACTGGTAGCGTTTGAGAAGTAACGCAACCAAAGAAACAGAAGACACAAGCCGCATTCGCATGGACGTCCCCCCCCCCATCCCCCCCACCCCCGCACAGAGCTGAAAGACAATTTGCAAGTTTAAGCTGGCATGTACACAAAGTCGAGAATCGGCAAAAACACCGTAAAAACCAATGCGAAATGCGACACATAGGAAACAACAAGAGAAACAGAAGACACAAGCCGCGTTCGCATGGACGTCATCATCCGAAAGACAAATGCAAGTCGAAGCCGGCATGTGCAGAAAGTCGAGAGTCGGCAAAAAGACTGCAAAAACCGATGTGAAATGCTAGAGAGACAGGAAAACACCGAAAAAAACGATGCGAAATGCAGAGCCGAACAAAAGTTTGCCGAGTGGAGGCGGTCACTTTTTTGATACAAAACACTGCAAAAACCGATGCGAAAGCAAAAGCAAATTTTAATGTCAGGTGAAAAAAGTGCCAAAACTCGAGTTTCAGCGCATGCCAGCACAGGAGTTGCACCACCCCGCGCGGCGGCAAACGCAACACCTACCAACAACAACTACTACTACTGCTGCTGCTACTACTACTACTCCTACTCCTACTCCTACTCCTACTCCTACTACTACTACTACTACTACTACTACTACTACTACTAGTCCAAGTCCTGTGAAACGGCAAGGAGGAGAATAAAACGACAACATCGTAGCGGATGAGTAGATTTATAACAGGGTTTCTTTACAACCCCAGGAGCAGTGGTATTCTGCGGGCCTTCCTATAGAGGCCACGGCCAAGCCGTGTGCTCGTCCATGGCCGAGGTCAAGAGCTTGGACGTGTCTGTGGGTTTTCAGGAGGCGATGCCTCTGGCAACAACCACCACAACCTCGGTCGTCATCGCTCTCTTGCAGAACTTTGTGTTCCTCACAGCCTACTTCGTCATCATGAAGTATTTCGAGGCCACCGCCGATTCCAAACACTGGCCGTGGTGGCGGCTGTCCTGGGTGCTAGGGCCCGGCCTCGCAACGGGTGCCGTGATATATCCGCGATATTGGGGAATGACCCTCTTCGGCCACCATCCGCCCGTATGGTTTTGCGGCCTGGGGGCTGTGGTCATCTCCTTGGCTTATGTGCAGATGCAGATGTCCTCTCCGCAAGCTGCCGCACTATTCCTCGCCGTTTCCACTAGTGTAACGGAGAAGGTCGTCTGCAGGATCTTGAATGCTTCCTACACCACCTTCATCTACACGCCCCGAAGCTCGGTCAACGGCAGCAAAAGTATTCTCGGCGACCAGCGCCGCTATCTCACAGTTCCGGTAGCCATGACTCATGCGTATTGCGAGGCCGTCAGATTGTCGAGCCTTCTGTCGGTAACGGTGCGAAGTCCGAGCTGGGCATGGTTGCCCAGTGTCCTGCTGAATGTGAGTTTCAACCTCATGGAGCGGACCCAACTGATGATGAGCTTAGCAGTGCGAATTTTGCCATGGTGTGATTGGATGTTCCCCGGGCTGAGTCTCGTCATCATGCATGATGTGAGGCTTCATGCCGGGTACGCGCAGCATGTTGCAGTGCTTGCTTTGTTGGTTGCTGAGATTGTTTCTGGTGGATTGGGCTTGACATCTGTGCTCAACAAGCAATGTGTCATCTTGATCTTCTGCTGTCTCATTTTGGAAATACTGGAAGACGTGCTGGTGCACGTCTTGCCACGCAGCGACTACTGGCGCCGAAGGCTGTCGCCGTACTACGAGCAACAGCCAGTGCTGCATCCCAAGCAGCTGTTGCTCATGGTTCATCAGGGAACAAACTACGAAGCAGCACCTTTGGCCCCGCATGGCCAGCGATCCCTCGCCTTGGGCGAGGTCGTGGCACTCATGTGGCCAAGCTGTTTGTTCACCTATTTTCTGATGACGCTGCTACTAGGGGCTGGCTACGTGCATGGTGTGTGCGATGAACCCATGCCGAAAGAGTTTCGAGCTCTTGATGCACTCATCTGGGAATCTCCACTACTGTGTGTCTGAGGACAACGAGTCGCACACTTTATGAAAGCATTGTTTTTGCGGGAGCTACGTTATCGTGGCGGCAATGCCTCCTGTCGTGCGTACTTGACTACTGCATCGGTTAGTGGTGTGTGATAGCTTCATAAATCGTCAGTACCGTGACCAGCCGTCAGCGAAAAGCGCCTTGCCAGGAAGCAAGCCAGATGCCACATTTTTCAACTTTATGAATCCGAGGTCTTCATAGAAGAAGCGCGTCAGGCTGCCAAGAATGCGCCATTCCGGCAAAGCACTGTCTCACTCGGATCTGCCGTGTCGGTGGATTTTGTCTCCGTCCCTAGGTCATACGCCACAGGACGTTCGGGCTTCGTCCTTGCCAAGCTGGAGGCAAACTTACATATTTATGATGGCACGATGCGGCTGCAGGCCCACGAAGTTTTGAAGCGCAGGGGTTTTCTGTAAGTGCGGATTCCGTGTTAGCGGTCGTCCTCAGAATCATCCTGCCAGCAAGTGTCTATGATAATTAGGCGTATCTCTGATTTTCCTGAACTCTCCGAGTAACTCTCACGTTGGCGTGGCTGAACGAGGTCTGGCATATGAGTCCTGGAAGATGCTACCGCAGACCCTCTGCAAATCCTATACCTTGAACCCTGTCTGTTCCTTAAGCCTTCAAGCATGCGATGGAAACGCGCTGGGCAAAGACTTCTGAGCCCAAGTTGGGTTTCGATTTGATTGGGACACTTCTTTGAAGATCTCTTTCGATTTGACACTTTGATGATGATCTGACCAGGTCCTCCCGGTGGTTTGTTTAGGCCCCCCCCCGGTGCCTTGCTTTGCCCTGTGCGCTGACTAGGTATTATAGGTATTATGTCATTGTCACTTAATTTCCAACAGCTTTCACCCTTATCGCCGCAAGCCTGAACCCCATCCTGGAGCCAACGATCTGCTCGGCTGCTTCAAGCACCGGTCATCCTCTCGTCGTACTGAGCATCGGCCCCTAAAGGCATACAGTCCAGTGGCAGCAGAAGCACGGAGCCACTGCTTATGGTGCGTCGTGAAGCGTGAAATGCCTCTAGGAATCTCAAAACTAGTTGCATTCGTGAGTGTGCCCAAACCTGTAATGCTTTCCCAAGCAGAATGTGTCGTGCTACTGGAAACCAAACTCTGCATCGACAAGAAAGCACGGAAGGACTTCCTGCCGAGCCGTTCGGAATGCACTGCGACGTGATTCAGCATGGATTCGGTATCACTCAAAACGAATATGTGATGGCCTGCCCCTGTATCATCAACCTACAACCCTGGAAATCGCGATGCACCCGACTTACGGTGCGACGTTGTTCAAGGCCTTAGAGCCACGAAAATCCACGGCTACCTCATGGGCATCGGCAGCCTTGTTGTTGGCTTCGGTGTGGGCCTCGGGAAGAGGCTTTACTTGAGATTGGCTGCTTCAGCCTTAAGCCTGTAAGGGTTGAGCTTTGAGAGTCTACAAAGGATTTATCGTAGTTTCCCTTTGCCCAAATTCCTTCTTGAGTACCGCGCATGCACGTTCTGGCATGACTTCGGAGAAACAGGCTTTGAGTTTCATGGACGGCCATCCCTTACTTCGGCTGAGTTCAAAGACTGCGGCAGAACTCGACAGATTTGGCTGAGGGTTTAGTGTTGGTCCCTTGTGTTGATGCATGGATCTCTTGTTTCGCTTAGCTTCGTCGGCATCAGTGCCGGTGCCTTCCGGCTTTCGATTCTTGATCCGCGGGGTCTCAACTACCACCATAGCTGTAACCTTTGTATTCCAATGAAGCATGTCGAGAGCCTGTCCAGATTCTGATTCGTGGGTGAATCCGAAACACTGCAAGACGTGTTGATATGGGTGGTTTAGGGTACGAACGCCCCGCAGCAGATCCCAAGCCGCAGACCCTGCATGTGCGTGGCCCAGGATGGTATGTCATTCACTCCAACAAGGAGGCAGTGGGCTCATTTCAGTGGAGCCAAAAGCAGATCTGTAAACGAGGATGTGTTGCCCCACTCCAGCTTTCAGCGTCGATGCAGTCGGTGCAACCAAAAAGCACATCCGTGCTTCAGTCGTGGCAGAGTGGAGCTTGACACCTGCACTCTAGAGTTCAAAGTTTCCAAACACTCAGAATTGCTCAAGTCTCGAACCATCAGGCCATGGGAAAGCCGCACATCACGACGTGGCATGGACTCTCAGGCCGTCTTGACGCTTCCGGACTGATGTTGTGTGTTTTCGACGGCCGTCGACGGCCCCAAAAGGGCCGTCTGCTGCTTTTTGCGTGATCTTTGCCAAGAAACGTGTAGCAAGGTAGCGGTGGTTTGCAGAAGCCAGGCCTGGTATGTCTCCTTACCACCTTCGGCATGGCGGTAGCAGGCACCGGGCTCTTGGCAGAAGCCTCAGGCCATCCTTGGTAGAATATCAGACAGCCGCAGCACACAAGTCTCGCGACATCAGCCAGTGTGAGGGTTTTGACAGGATTTTGCGTTCTGCCTCTATCTATCTATCTATCTACCTATCGAAGCGGCTATGTATTATTCTATGCATAAAGGCCCATTCCATGTTGTATACCCCAGCATCATGCTAGCACTCTGGTTTGAACTTGCGACTTCCCACACAGCAGCACAGTTGCCAACTCTTCCACATCTATGCAATAGACTAGAATCCGAAGCACCCTCTGCAATCTTTTCAGGATCCCCACATTGGCATGATGAAAGGGTCCAAGTCGGTGCCGGACTCGAAAATCGGAGTGGACTTGTAGTAGTTTGGGATGTAAGAAGACGGCCGTTTGATTGGCCGACGAGCAGGCTTTGTCAATAGTCAAACCTTCCCTCTGCTTTCCATGAACAATGAACCCTGAACCCTAAACTTGCCTGCCTGTGCGAGTGTGAGCGTCGAAACCCTAAAACCATATGCCTCGCCTGGATTGTCCGAGTGTGAGCGCCGAAACCCTAAAACGAATCAATCCGGGAAAAACCTTAAAACGCTCTGAGCGAGGGCCTCCACGGCCTTCGTTGATGCCAAAATCGGTTCTCTCGAAAAGAAAGGCTGCCATAGGATCCGGCCCTGATGTCACACTCAAAGGGGAAAAGGAGGGACCCTTAATGGGGTCCCCTACCCTATAATGGGCTATATAATGGGTACATAATAGCTATATTAAGGGTATATACCTATAGGGGTCCTGATTAAGGGTCCCTCCATTTACCCTTTGTTCTTCGGCTTACTTGCCACGGAGGCCCCGTAGCAAGCGGAAATGGTGGCTACTGGTAGGGGGAGAAGGTCGGATTGGTCAAGTTCGGGACTTCTTGAAGTTTAGAGGGGTTTCGGGATTTAGGCTTTAGCGGTTTATATCGTGTTCAGATGTCAGTGAGTTCGATTGGCCAACTGATAGCATCACGAACCTTCGTGGATGAAAAGGCAGTTTCACCCCCTCAGACCTCCTGGCCCAAAGCCACCGGTGAATCGCAGCTTCAAGAAAGCCTCAACTCCATGCAGGGATCCCCTGAAGCACAGGATAACAATCCGGGAGATGAAGAGGTAAGTGGCCCTGTAGGAATGGAGGTGCCTAAGCCTGTTTTTTGTGGGTTCCCTGAACTCTAGACCCTTTCGGGTTTAGGGTCTAGGGTCCAGTAGGAGGCAAAATATAGTTTCGGGTTTAGGGACCCTTGCCGAGATCCAGGCGAGCCTGTGCAAGTCTGTGCAAAGAGGGAAACTTGCTGTAGCCAAGCCAGACCCTGTAATCTGCCATATTACATGTTGCATACTATTTTCCTTTAAACTATATCTTATACTGTTTATTCAATACGATAAGGTTCGCTTCGTGCACAAGAATGGCGGCCGTCTGCTTCTGGGAGCCGCTTTTGCAGGGCACCTAGCCGACAGTGAACCCAAACGACCTCGCTTTAGGGTTCAGGGTTTGGGTTTGGGCTTTACGTCGAAGCTACCATGTGAGCGGACCGTAAGAGAAGGGGGTCCTTCCCATTCTTGTGGTGGGTGCTCTGATTTCAGCCGGTTAGATCCGGCTGTATAGGGAAGACCTGCTCTTCACAGCTCGCCACTTCAGGCAGCACTTCGAAAGGAGGCTTCAATGCAGACATCAAAACCGAGGCAATTTTGCATAAGACCAAAATGGTTGCAAGTCCTCGAATCACGTACTGGAACCGAATTTTGCCGGTGGCGTGTGTGTGTGTGTGCGTGTGTCTGTGTGTGTGTGTGTGTGTGTGTGTCTGTGTGTGTGTGTGTGTGTGTCTGTGTGTGTGTGTGTGTCTGTGTGTGTGTGTGTGTGTCTGTGTGTGTGTGTCTGTGTGTGTGTGTGTGTCTGTGTCTGTGTGTCTGTGTGTGTGTGTGTGTGTGTGTCTGTGTGTGTCTGTGTGTCTGTGTGTGTGTGTGTGTGTGTGTGTGTGTCTGTGCGTCTGTGTGTCTGTGTGTCTGTGTGTCTGTGTGTCTGTGTGTCTGTGTGCCTGTGTGCCTGTGTGCCTGTGTGCCTGTCTGTGTGTGTGTATGTGTATTTATACTGCATACTGTAAATAAGTTATCGCCCTCACAGAAATACTTACAAAGCGTGCCGCTGGAGGCACGCTTTGCGGCGCTTGTTCCTTTCTTTCCGCAGTTATACAGCTTCGGCGCGAGGGTAGAGACCCTGAACTTGAACCGAGGCATCGTCTGTCCTGGGCTGGTCCACAGTGCAGAAGCAAGCGGCCCTTCCTGTCCAGTTCCTGGCATCTACAGGTGTGGGTTGAGGCTTTGTAAATTCGGGATTGTGTTTAACATTTGGCTTCTGGGGTAGTTTAGCACAGAAGTGCACTTCTTATATATGTCTGGTCTGAATAGTGCTATATTCTGGTTGTTGCACATACATCAACTAGACTCGCCGGGCGTTTTGGAGAGAAGCTTGAGAGTTGATAAGTCGGGCGCAACTACTTCCGATTAGAGGCGGCTCTTATGGTCTCTGAGGGGCAGGCAGCTCCTACGCGCATCCCCAGCCACCACCCGAGATGTGGTCTGAGTTTGGGACCATTTATGTTGTTCTCGCATGTGGAGCTCACATGAGGTTCTAGCATGCCTCGGCATGCAACTCATCATTGAATTGCTGTGCATGGCCTTAGCGTGGACGAACCTCGCCGGAAGTTCTGTGAAGATGAACGCAGAAGATTCTTGCGTGGTTGCCCGTGCCCTGGTGTTGCGGCCCAGTTACCCTGACTTTCCCGAAACACAGTAGACCCAGATTGCGCTCTTCGCGCTGCCGCTCGTCATCCTCATGAAGGCAGCTTGCAGTTCAGAGCAGTTGCGCAAAGATGAACAAGTTTAGGCTTTTCCTTCAAGTCGCGAGCACTCCACTTCCAAACCCAAAGTCCTGACATCGAACATCTCATGGTTTTGCCAGCCTGCCAGGTGCTGATCTGAGCGTGCCGTCTCTAGCCGATAGTGTTTCTCAGCACTCCTGACGCTGTGGTTCAGACAGCATCCCGTAGTGCGTCTGACGCTGTCGCAAGTCAAGATGCATCTGATGCATGTCTACTTTTACTCTTCACTGCTTAACTCTCGGTGATAGCCATCGGATAGTCATGATAGGTGGCCACCGTGGTGAAGACGAAATTGAAGATGCTACCGTACCTGATAATGTAGAAGGCGAAGATGTTCATGAGGTATGATCATCTTGGTTCTGATGCTGAGACGGAAGATGATTATGGGGACGACGATGGTTATCATTATGACTATATGCTATTTCTGTTCTGATTGCAATGACTCGCTATCACTCGTACCATTTGGATGCCAACATCGCTAAACTGCTGCGGCTACTTGTGCTGCTGCAGCTAGTGTAACTGCAACAGCAACTGTAACAACAACCACAACAACTACAGCTGCAGTTACAACAGCAACACTCACGTCTGTACTAGTACTAGTACTAGTACTAGTACTACTAGTACTGCTCGTACCATTACTGGTACTAGCTAGTAACTAGTACTTGTAACCAGCAACAGCGCTAGCACCACCAGAACCGCGACCTGCCTACCTCTACAACACACTGCCACAGTCCCGCAACAAAACACTGCCTACCACTGCCACTACCACTACCACTACCTCTCTAGCTATTGCCGCTGGTCGCATCTACTATTGCCATGGCAACTACCACCATTACCGCTTGCTGAGGGTGTGCTGCTTCAGTCTGGGCATAAGTTAGTTGCGACCTTTTGGCTGTGTTTGCTGGCATTTCTAGATCCAAAAGTGGTGCGGCCGAATGATTTCTTCTGCGAGCAGAGGCGGCCCACCAGGCGAGGGTTGTTGGGATCTCGTGTTTCCCCCAACCCAGATTGTAGGAGTTGGCTTTGCTTTTTGTGTATGATCCCTTGAGTAAAATTCGGTGGCTCAGGATGTACCATATCGTGCTTAGGGACTGGTGTTGAGGTGGGATTGGTACGTTTAGGTTTATGTTTAGGTTGGGGCAGAATTGCAACGAGAAGTGCGATCTGGCTGCAAGGCTGCAAGACGAAATTAGCCCTGGTGTTCGACCTGCCGGTGGGGTTTGGTTGCGCAGCCGTGAAATTGAAAATGGCTTCTGCTCTTCTCGGATCAGGGGTTTGCTCCGTTCTAGTGAGATGTCGAGGTCATGAACTCATGTATAGAGGAGTAAGGAGGAAGAACGAGGGATGGGAGAGGGGCATGGAGTATAGAGTGTTTGAGAACTAGTTAGCATATTGTGAACGACTGAAACGCGCGCAGGCTCACAGGCCCGTGAACCCTGAGATTTGACACCCGAAGATGCCATGGAACGGGTCAGAGTCAAGACGTCGAGCATGGAAACGTCGTGCCCGCGGTTTGTTGTCGATTGTATCTTGGCACCTTGCTCTGTCAACTGCTTGGTTTTGTGTCGTGCATAGCTGAGCTTCCGACGACTTTTGGACAGAGCTTGCATTGCCGGCGCAGGCGGAACCCATGTCCTTTCAGGACGCGGAGGACGCCATGCAGGGCCTCAACACCGGACTTTGGGTTTCAAGATTCCCCTTGTGAGCGCCTACTTCTGAGTGTTGCTTCTGTTGGCTGATAATTAGTGCAATTGCCCCCAAGAGTCCAGACCTAATTCGTTGGGAGTTGCCGAGTTTTCGTGCTCACTGGCCGCCCGTCATCTTGAATCGGATCTGGTGCTTTGTCGGGGACAGCTTTGTTGTCGTCACGTTCAACAACTTACCGCAGTTTCGATCCCTCGAGCTTCGTTTTTGTTCCGCCTATCTACAGTATCGTGATGGTTACGGTTTTCTGAAATCTCCAAAGCTGCAATACTATAATACTGCGCTTGACACTTCTCCCCTGCATGAAGGAGCCCCAAGATAGCGAAGAGGACGCTCGCCGACTTTCATGGCCATTTGAGAGAGGGCTCCCCAATGTGCTTGGTGTTATATAACCTAAGATGACAAGAAATACGACTCTGAGGTGCGGTGGCTCGTAAATGGTGTGGTTCTCGAAGTGTGGATGTCCACATCCATGCCGAAAGGCCTATTCTCCCGAGCGTGATGAAACAGTCTGCCTAAAACCACGAACCGGTGAGAGCATAAAGCCTGGCACAACTTGAGCTCCTTTGGTAGCAGCCAGGGCACTAAAGCCACTCCTTGGCAAGAGGATGCCAAATCGCCTCACATACATACGTACATACATAGGCTTATACATGCGTATGTAAGTACATACACGCAGACATGGAAACGAACACATGTATACATATGTATTCACACACAAATACATATATATATATATATATATATATACATATGTGTGTGTGTAAAGATATGGGCGTATAAACATATACATATGCACATACATGCATACGTACATACGTACAAGCGAGCATGTGTACATAGAGATAACCGGTGCAAGGATTATGAAACTGGAGCATCGGACACTTTGCAGCCTCAGACTGTGCAGCCGTTCAGCCAAGCTGTTCGCCGAACGTTTTAGGGTTGGACGGTTTTGATTTGTGCTTGTACTCCTGGGACTGTAGCTTTGGCGATCTCTGTCTGCAGCTTTCTTGTTGTTCTCGCTGCCCACGTTGGCAGTATTAGTCTTTGAATGCTATGAGGCTACGCGCGCCTACCGGGCCAGCCTTTGTAGCAGCTGCTCTCAGCCCGTGGGAGTTAACGGGTTCTCCACTCAGGTCAGCCTTTTCCAGAAAACATGCTGGCTGGTCCACCCTCGAACTGCCAAAAGAGGTTCAAGCCTAAACCCCCAACACTAGGTCACAAAGCCTTGCTGAAAGGATGCCGGTGGTCCAAGTAGCGACGAGGAACTCCGGTCCCCGGCTTACATCAACGGCAACGCCACTCAGCTGAGTCTTTGTGCCTACGATTCATGGGGAAACGAACTCTTGGGGCTCTAGCTGCCTAGGCACCAGGTTTATATTTTATAGGGGTTTCAGGCGCCATACATAGGAACCTGTGAATGTAGGGGTTAATGGAGTTTCATGGAACGACTTGGAAAGAGGTTCTGAGATGCTGAGCTGCATATAGTAGTTCAAAACTCAGCTGACAATTGGCACCTGCCATTGCCGAAACCAAAATCTCCTAGGCATCCCCAAACCCCCGGCCCGAAACGCAGAAAGAAGGCCCAGAAACTTGAACTCCATGCAGGAGGCAACATCCTCAACTCGGAACCCACTCTGAATCGTGGAAAGGCCCTAAAGACCTGAACTTCATGAAAGTAAGGGTTGTGTTGGGGGTCTTCTGTGTTATCAGCTTGTAGTTTGCGCTGAGGCTGCTGATGCTTATTTGGTGGTGTTTCGGCAAGTGCACTATGTGCAGTTAGCTATGGATCGTATTTGTGTTTTTGAGGTCGTCCCTACTAGTTTCTTGAGCAGGGTATGGAAGTGCAGTCAGCAGTGCTGACCTTCCATTCATGTGTTCAGGCGATTGCACAAGTCCTGATACAAAAAGGTTCATCGTAGGTTCGTCCTAGCCAGGCGAGAGGCACAATTGATGTAAGGCGCCTTAATCAATCGTATAGAGTTTTGGGGCTACTTAGTATATTTGTAGTATAATATACCCCAAATCCTAGTCTAATTACTAAGGCAACATAATATAGTAATAGTACAGTAATAGTACAGTAGTCGTGCAGCAGTACAGTACTAGTACCGCAGTAGTACCGCAGAAGTACCGTAGTAGTACAGTAGTAGTACAGTAATAGTACAATAGTGGCACAGTTGTAGTACAGTAGGAGGAACAGGAGCAGTACAGTAGTAGTACAGTAGTAGTACAGTAGCAGTACAGTAGTAGTACATCGGTAGTACAGTACGAGGGTTTAGGAGTACCTGGAGCTGTTTAACCGGGTTTGGAAATCACCAAAAGCTGGAAATCAAAACCCCGATCACTCCAAGATAACTACCAAGACTAAAACCCCTTCATGTAGAACACTTTTGCCTCCAACCTACACTTCCCTCCACAATCGACCACGTCTGAGGCCTGGTGTGGTACAGCAGTTTTACTTTAGTAGTACAATAGTCGGACAGTAGTAGTACATTCGTAGTACAGTAGCAGGGCGAGAGGTGGGCTTAAGAAGGTGGTTTTTCGGGTATAGGGCGAGTTTCGGGCTTCAGTGCCAGGGTTTTAGGGTTTGGGCGGGGGTTTAGGTCGTGGATGCCTTAGGATTGACCATCAGCACAAAGGAGCAACCACCCCCCAAAAATCCCCCCAGCCAAAACCAACACGGACTTTTTAGGACACCACATTTTTGGTACCCGGCTTGAATAAGGAAAACAAGAACGAATTAATTAGGCCCAAGTTACAATTCAAGCCGCCACAATAGTACCATTATAGATCCCTTATAGTAGCCCTTATACAGACCATCTTAAAGGAACCCTCTTCCAATTATTAAGGCCTCTTCATTAGGTACGGCCCCCGCTCAGTAATAGTTGAATAATATTCATAGTACAGATATAGTAGGACCTTAATAGTAGCCCCATTATAGACTCTTACCGTATGGGGGCCGTACCTAACCTCTTCATTAAATCCCTCGCATCCAGGGAGAGGATGCCGAAAGCCCTGAAGACTCAGATGTTCAAGGCGAGCCGGAGACGGAGGCACGGAGACGTCAATCTTCTTTGCTTTTTGCTAAGGAAGTTTCGGTTTTTCAGTTACCATAACAGGGGTATATATATATATATATATATGTATATTATATAATGTGGTTTCTTAAGTATTTTATTTCAAAAACATCATCAAGAAGAAACCAATCTTAGGGCCTCCGAGTTTAGGCACATAAGTGAAACGTATTGGAAAGGTATAGGGGCCGATAGTTAGCATTAGCCTTACATTATGATCTACGTATCTGTGTGTACATATATATATATATATATATATATAGGTAGATAGAGAGAGAGAGAGAGAGAGAGAGAGAGAGACAACAGCTTTGGGAAGAACAAGGGGGGGAACCACCAGCAGCCTCCTCCACATCATCTTTATATCGTCCTGTGTTCTGCAAAAATTGGCATACGGTGTGTTGTGGGGCCTGGCCCTTAGCTACGTCGCAACGTGAAGAGAGGGGGCAGCTGCAGTACGACTAACCTACAGGGGGAGTAGCGTGTGGTGCAGGAACTAAGGACACAGCCTAAGAGGGCGCGGAGGTGAGGCCGGGATGCGGGCATAACGTAAAGGGTTGAGGGTTGGTTCTGCACCAGACGCACTCTACCTGTTGTAAGTACCATTGGGGGAAATCCTCCACAACAGATCCCAATGCCTCCTTCCACCAACAAGGCAGGAAGGGGGGGGCCTTAGGCCCGGGTCTGCTCGCAGACTCAACCCCGGCAGCGAGCGAGCGAGCGAGCGAGAGAGAGAGAGAGATAGAGAGAGAGAGAGAGGGGCCTTTAAGGCCGAGGGGTCTCGCACTCCCCTCATGCCCCGGGGAAGAAGAGAGAGAGACAGAGAGAGAGAGAGAGAGAGAGACAGAGAGAGCCAGAGAGAGCCAGAGAGAGCCAGAGAGAGCCAGAGAGAGCCAGAGAGAGAGAGAGAGAGAATGACCTCCAGAGGACAGAGCCGGAAGCAGAAGGGGAGAAGTACCGTTCGGTTGTTTCATGTGCGAGACTTGGTGACCCCCTCTGGGAGCAGCTGCATGGGGGACATGTCCAGCCTTTGAAGGGGGTACGCTAGTGTAAAGGGACGGGGCTTGCAACTCGGTCAGCGGGACCCCAAAAGCCGTCCACTGGGTGGTCGGGCGGGCTGAAAGCCTGAGGGTCACAACGGCGACCTCTAAGCCCGGCAGAAAGAAAGAAAAAGAACGAGAGAGAGAGAGAGAGGTAGACATAAAGGCACCTAGATAAGCAATTCTATTTCGGACTTCAGGGTCACATGCATCGGCCCCAGTACGGGTTTGAAAAGGGTTTCCATTCAGACTCCAGGCCGGTTGGTGACGGAGGTTCGAACTCACATCGTCCAGCTTATTACCCGGCACATGCAAATCATGTCTACCCGATATGCGGCGATTCACCGCGAATCTGATTTAACTCAATCAGTGTTGCTGTGCCAAGCTAGTCGGGCGTACCTTTGTTTGAATCCCAAGTTCTGCAGTAGCACTGATGCCAGGATCTCGGTCAGCTTCATTGTGCACCTAGTTTATAAACGGGGGCACCGGGCTTGTGATTGGTCGGCCTGCCGACACAACCTTGGATGTTCAAGATGTCAGCAGAACTTCCGAGAGAAGGTACTTGCAGCAACATAAGGGCTTGCAGCTTCAGGTGTTAATTAGAAAGCTTCGTGGTTCCTGAATATCAGTTTCGTTCACTTTCCTGCGTTTCCCCCAGTCTCGTTAGGCGCCGCGCCCTGACAGGTCGAAGATCTCGACGCTCTGCTCGTCGATGTTCAAGACCACATCTTCGGCGAGATGCAGCTTCCCCCAGACGTTGCGGAGGAGTTGCAGCGACCCGGCGGCACTGCCTTTTCAGGCTGCACCTGCAAGTGTTGCTGTTGCTGCCGCTTCTGCTGCGTTGTGCAGTTGCTCTTGTTGTCTTGTTGTTGTGGTTGGAGGCGGTTGTGGTGCTGCTGCCCTGCCGTCGTGATCGTGGTCGTTGTGGTTGTCGTTGTCGTTGCTGCTGCTGTTGCTGTTGCTGTTTTTGTCGTTGGTTGTCGGTGTTTTGGCTGTGATTGTGGTTGTTGTGTTTGTTCTTGTGCTCTTGCTTGTGCCTGTGCCTCCGCCTCTGCCTGTGCTCGTGCCTGTGGCTGTGGCTGTGGCAGTGGCAGTTTGTTGTTGTTGTTGTTGTTGTTGGTACAGACAAAAACAGCAGCCCGTACTTGTTGTTAATCTGAAGCAATTGGGAATGCTTCCGGCGACCGCATAGGGTGCCTGTAGAGTTTTGGGAAGTTCAAGCCATGCCTGCCCCATGATAGAAATGCGGTGTAGGCTGGGTGGTTGTTGTAAAGGGGGGGGGTCAAAACAACAGACGGGGCTCCAGTTTTTGCCTCTACTACACGGGGTAGAGACAAAGGCACCAGCGAAATCAGGACTTTGTCTCTACCCCCTGTAGTAGAGGCAAGAACTGGAGCCCCGTCTGTTGTTTTGACCACCCCCCCTTTACAACAACCGCCCACATTACACCACATTTCCACCACAGGTATAAGAATCTGCGATATCCAGAAGTGGTTCTGATGGGTGTTGGAAGGGCTTGTCTGGAATTTTGAGGGGTTTGCATTGGATACCCGTACACTCAAAAGTATAGTTACCAGTTACTATACAGTAGTTTGTACAGGCCTCGCAAATGCATATTCTGCACGGCGCGGATCTGAAATACACACCAAATCCATTGAAAATACACACCAAATCCACTGAAATACACACCAAATGCACACCAAATCCACCGAAATACACATCAAATCCACTGAAATACACACCAAATCCATTGAAATACACACGAAATCCATTGAAATACACACAATCCATTGAAATACACACCAAATCCACTGAACTCCGCACCAAATCCATTGAAATACATGCGCAATCCACTGAAATACATGCGAAATCCACTGAAATACACACGAAATCCACTGAAATACACACGAAATCCATTGAAACACACACCAAATCCATTGAAGTACAGACGAAATCCAGTGAAATACACAGCAAATCTACTGAAGTACGTTGTTGTTGTCGTTGTTGGGGGTGGTAAAACAACATGACGGGGCTCCTGTTTTTGTTTGTACCTTGTTGTCGTTGTTGTTGTTGTTGTTGTTGTTGTTGTTGTTGTTGTTGTTGTTGTTGTTGTTGTTGTTGTTGTTGTTGTTGTTGTTGTTGTTGTTGTCAAGTTGTTATGTTGTGGCTCCTGCGAATGCACTTGTTCATGTTATTGTTCATGGCATCGTAAGTTAACTGTGCTGTTTGGTTGTTGTTTATCGCATATTTATAGGGTCGTGCCTACTGGTGCTTTTTCAACGTTGTTAAGTGTTACTGATGTTCTGTTCATGTTCCGATTGTTGATAGTGCTGTGATTCTTAATCACGCTGTTGTGATTGAACATGTTGTTGCTGCTGTGGTTGTTGTTGCTGTTGATGCTGTCGTGTTTCCTGTTGGTGGTGGTGGTGGTGGTGGCGAAGTATTTGTTGCTGCTGCCCTTGTTGTTGCTGGATGTTGTTGTTCTTCTTATTCTTGTTAGTGTTCCTGTTCTTGTTCTTGTTGTCATTATTGTTGTTGGTGTTGTTTCTCGTTGTTGTTTATCGTTGGTGTTTCTCGTGGGGTGGTGTTCTCGTTGATGCGAACGCTTTCATGGATGAAGATGATCAATACGTGGAAACGGAGCTGGGCAACCAGCCGAGAAAAAACACAAAAGATGGCAGCCACCTAAGGGTCGCCTTCGCTGCCTTTCTCGAGTCAGCTGGGTCCAGAGATGCGGCCGGCGAAGCCGTCTACGCCGCGATTTTTGCCGCCAGCCTGCTTGTGAGGGCCAGCGCGTACATGTGTGTGTGTGTGTGTGTGTGTGTGTGTTCCATGGCTGGGGCCCATCGAAAATGAGCATACTCTGTACTAATGTAGCAACTGCCTGGAGTTTCTACGAGTTTAACTAGACGCAGCAAAGGTGAAGCCTCGATATCTGCTCAAGACCCCATGTCCCAAAGAGTGACACCATGCTCGCGCCATCTTGCCCCAACAGGGAACACGGTCGCACTCGTTTTTCACTTAATATAATACGTTGCATGTAGTTTGCTGCCTCAATGTTACTGTGGCGCGGAGATGTTGGGACCTATTCAAACCTGGTTTAAGCGTGTATTTCCAGGCATCGGTGTGCGCTCAATACACTTAGAGTCAGAGACTATGGTCGCGGATGGCAGGGCAAGGCCTCCAAGCCCGAACTCCTCACGTCTCAACAGCGCAAGTCGTGTGCATACTTTCAGTTTTCTATACGGGAGTTTCCGAAAATTAGGGGTACCTTATTTTGGGGTCCATATAATAAGGATCCTATTATTAGGGTACTATATTAGGGTCCCCTATTTTCGGAAACCCCCCCATACCGAGGATGCAGCTCCGGAGTTGCAAACCCTTTTCAAGCCGCTTGCCTTCCTTGCAGTTGGGTCATGGCATTGCCCCTGGCAATTGGCTTTCGACCTGCATTGAACTGCCTGTGTATGTACGTGTGTACGTATGGATGTATATATTGTTCAGGCCTACCCTATAAAGCTCACCGTGGTGTCGCATCGCTATTCAGCATGGGCCTAGGGGCTTTGCCCGAAACCCCAGCCAAGGAGAGCACAGCTCGTGGCTTTGTTGTTATTCTCATAAACCCCTCGTGCATCTTCATTCAGCTTTCTGTCAGTTCTAGCTGAGAACTTTGCCATGCACATAGCCCTAACGAAGCAATCCGCGCCAGCCTGTAAGAAGAGACAGAGGCCGCGGCACATCTCACCAAGAACCGACATGTTCCGCCCACCACCATTCGATACCGTGCATTTTTACGTTCGATGTGCTCGTGTCCTTGTCGTCGTTTCCAGATTTTGGGTGCAACTCGCGAGGCTCTTGTTGGGATGCTTGCGCTTTACCTGGCACAGCAGACTCTTCCTCTTAGTCTTATGAGTTTCCCGCGGAACCCTACAGATCGCAAGATTTAGGATGTTGACTCCGAGCGAAGCCTACAACAGTGTAGATTTTCTGCGGCATGCTGCAGCTGCCCCAGCTTGATTATGCTTGACTTGAAGAAGCAGCATCTAAAGAAACCTCTAATTACACTCCAAGGTCTATTGCCGCACATCTCAAGACTCGCCACATGACTGAGGCATCTTCTTCTGGCCACTTTAGACACTGAACCTCCTAAGCCCTGAAATGATGCCCATTAACTTCGTACCATGAAGCTTGTCAATCGGAATCCGAGCCCTAATCTTCCCTGAACCTTCAACACTAAAGTCTGAAGGACCCCGCGGTCTGTGATGGCGATGCGCTTTATCAACGGGCTGAATCATCTAGTCGGCGAGCTCACAGATCCCCCTGCCTTGAAGGCTGGTCGCTGCCCTCAGAGACAAGAGCATACTCACGATCGCCCCGAATACAACCGTGTTCGGTGTGTCTCTGAATGCTTAACTTCGGAACCGGTCTTCGATGTTCGCGTCCTTCTAGAAGCTTTGGATGCTAGTGCATATTTTCATAGTGTGCGGAATGTTACCAGTTTATGTAACACGCTGTCTTATGCACATCCACACTTTGCCGTGGCAACCATTTGCATACACCGTACATGCATGCCGGATCCTTGCCATATTTCGCTGGAAGCTCGGGGCACCCACAAGGCTGCAGCCGAAACTGCCCAATCTGTGGTATCTATCGGGAAGACGGTAGTGCGATAGTGGCCATCTTCACTATTAGTGACTATAGGAGCCGTAGCCCGAAACCGTAAACCATGGACTGTCCGAGTGTGAGCGCCGAAACCATGGACTGAGCTCATGGCATGGGATTGCTCCTCGCTGACTAGTGGTAGTTTCACTCAGCTGACCTCGAACCACATGCCTCGCCTGGATTGTCCGCGTGTGAGCGCCGAAACCCCAAACCCTCTGGCATGTCCGAGAGAGCGCCCCGAAACCCTGAAACCGTATACACAACCCCAAACCCTTGAAGCAAAGCACTGAACCATAATAAGCCGCAAACTTCAAGCTCTAAACCCAAAAGCTTTTGATGTTTGCAGCAAACGTTTTACAGAACGCAATAGAAGCCTATAGAAACCCGCAGCACCTATTCATTATATATAAAGCCTTAGGAAACCTAAAGAAAGCCCTGAGTCTGAATCCTTGAGTCCTAAAACTCTTCACAGACGGTGACGGAGACCTTGGGCTTTCAGCATTTGGACATCGAGCCTTGGCGTGCAGCGGTTTGAGGTTCAGGGAGGTTCTCGGTTTAGGGGCCTGAGTTGGGGCGGGATTCACACAAGCTTGTGCAAAAAAGGGGCCTGAGTTCAACACGGTTTGTTGCTTGCAAGTGGCCGGGCCTAGCAGAAAGGGCGCGGCGACGAGGCCGGGATGCACGAATTAGTGTTCAGTGTCGGGGGGATGCAACGGCAGCCAATGCGCCCGACTCGTTCACTCAGGACCCCAATGCCCCTTGCTCTCAAAAAGGACGGTGAAAGGGGGCGCCTAGGCACGGCCCCAACAAGCTTGGACCTGACCCTCACGGAAGGAAGAAGAGAGAGCGACTGATTCTGCCAGACCCAAACACACGGTGAGAGTTTGAAATTTGGGATCGTGGTTGGCATCGAAATCCAGCTCCATGATCGTAGCCCCAGTCTTGTTGCTACTATAAATTATAATTGGAGCTGCTAATACGATCCTTCGTCAGTGTTTATTATTAGAACTACATCCTGTCGTTATCATTGTTGAAGTTTGCCAGGATCATCAGCGTAACATTGCCATGGCTTCTACCGAGACTCCAAACCATAAACCTAAAGGATTAGGTCTAGTCCTTGCGATGTAGGAGGCAAAAAGCCTATAGACCCTAACGGTAGAAAATGTCTGTAAACAAAAAATACAACCTTAAACCCTATACCGCAAATCGAGGAAGTTACGACCCCGCGAGCCGGAATTTTCCGGAACGCCATCCTCGAGCTCTTTGAGCAGGAGCTCGGTGGCAACTTCACTGGCAAGGCCTCCCTTCTTGTGGGGAGGGGGGTCACGGGGCCAAAGGGGGGGGGGGGGGGGGGGTTAGGTGTTTAAGTTCAGGGCATATTGCGGGGCTTTGGGGGCTAAGTCGGCTGTTTTAGTGTCTAGGCGCGACAACTTGGGGTTCAAGATCTCAGGGTCAAAAACTTCGGGATGAGGGTCTAGGGATTTGGGTTTGGAGTTTAAACGGTTTCAGAATGGGTGCATTTAGGCTGATAAATGACCTACCCAGTTTAAAAGGGGTTACCTGAGATGAAGGCCTTTAAAGAAAGGAGAGGTTTGTTAAGCAGGTTTTCAGAGTCTTGTTTGCGAGCCGAAGCTCCACATACCTGATGAAAGCGGAGGATCAGAGCTGAAGGGTTTTAACGGCGTTTTGGGGTTTAGCGTTTTTTGGTATCGTGTCTGGTGTTGCAGGACTGGATTGACCGACTGCCCAACCCTTGTCGCCAGTTGATGCGGTCTCCACCCCTCTGGAAAGAAACTCTTCGCAAAAGGCCCGTTAGCCTGAGCCAAGAGACCGGGACCTTAAACTAAGCTGTTCGACAGGCGAGGGCTGGATTACAAGCACTCATGAACTATGTCGGGGGTGCCATGATCTACGTCCGGCGTGAGTACTCGGAACGCTTCAACACCCTTCGGGTCAGTTGGATCGCAGCCCTTGGCCCGCACACAGTTTCCGTAGTTCTACCTCGGAAAATTAAACTTTGGGGGTCCCAGTCTGAAGCCTTGGCCCTAGACCCTGAGCCCTATCTTGTTTGCGTATAGGCTATGGAGAAGCAAGGCTCCTCATGGTATAGGTGTTGAGGCTTAATGATTGGCTTAACACCGATCCTCTTTGTGTTTGCCGTGTGTCTCCCTCTCCAATCAAGCCACTGAATCAAGCCGAACCTTTCTGATTGGGGTCAAGCGGCGAGCTCTTTGGGGCTCTCGCAGCTGCGTTGGCAAGGTTGTCAGATGCGAAGCCTCCACATCAACATTGAGCCAAGACCGTGGGGTAAGCACGGAAAACCATAATGCGCTCTTGATCTAATTGAGTTGTAGCTTCAGGCTTCCTGGCATGAGGTTTCTTGTATGCTGCTTTGGTCGTAGACATGACATGCCGAACGCAGCTGGGTGGCTCTTAGCACCGAAAGCCCAGCAAACCAAATGCACAGCCACGTGGTGGTGGCACGGGAGCAACCAAGAATTTAGCTCGCAGACGAGGCGATGGTCCCACACCCCAGTGTGCTTAATTAAGCTTCCAAGCTGCTACCGAGGCCAGCCACGCACGCAACCTGGCGTGACAGATGGACTGGGACGTTCTTAATGATAGAGTTGGGCCTTGTTCAGTTGCTTTGAAGTGTCCTCGCAATGAGCATCTTCTTCCGCTCTTGGTACTCCTGGGAATACCGGTCCGCCCCTGGCCTCCCCCGAGTTGGGCCGCAGAGACCATGCCCGTATGACACTCCTGCAGAAGTCTCTATCCATGCATAAGGATGGATGGACGAATGGAATTCATATATACAGTTAGCTAATTATATGCTGGCCAAATTATAGCGACGTCAGCGACCTCACCGAAGAATTGCGAGGTAACCGTCCCGAAACAAGTCCCAAATTGCGAGGTGCCGAGGTCCGAACCAGGGGTTCAACCTCATTTTGCGTTTGGTCAAAGGAATCTAGCAAATTAAATTGAGGTTCCAGCCGGGCCAGGCATGACCGCCCGACCCAGCCGGCCCGACACGAGGTACAAGAAATAGCGGTGCCCGGTGAAATATGAAATTCGAGTTACGAGGTAAGAAATACACAGATCAACATACATATACAGACTTGTATGCATGAATATGTACATATGAGCCAGGTGCATCTGCCAGACGTAGTCGTGGTGTTATGGAAAGCTTGAAACACGTCATCTTGCTTTTGCACCCCAAAGCTTCCCCTAACTTTCCCGTGGCTGGAACATAAGAACAGACTGGAAAACATTATAGAAATTGTTTAGACTTAAACTCTAGACATCTCGCATTCGTGCAATGTCTTGCTGGCCGTGCGCACCTCGACGGGCCGGACCGCAGTTCGTGATGCCAGGACTTAGTAAACCGCAGATACCCTCCAGCCTAACTTACTAGGTTCACCAAGGTGTAAGAGTCGAGATTCCGATTCGAAGCCCTTAAGGAGCGAATGCAAGCCTTGGCATGTCAGAGCTCGGGGCAAAGATGCTGGTTGCAGTGCGGTGAGCAACCCCATCAACATGGCCATCCCTAGCAATACCAACAGCAACAGTAGCATCGTTGCGAGATGGCGAAGGTCTTCACCCTAAGCGCTAAGCCCTGAGCCGTTACCTGCTAGGCCTGACCGATGAAGACGAGCAGCTGGCGCATCCGGAGGCTCTCCAGAGTTCATCGATGCGATGCGTGGAAAGCGCGCGCGACAGAAAGCGAAAAGCAAACATGCTTGCTTGCCACGAAGATCTGAGTCTGCTTCGTGAGGTCATAGTCACGACTCATCATCGTACTGGTCGAGAGAACAGTGGCAGGAAGCAGTCGTGTCACGCTCGCTACCAACGTCACATTGCAGTGGTACTGCCACGAGCGCCGCTGTGCTTGATCCTCTCCTCGACAATTCTCCAACACAACCCCGCAACCTTACCCCTTACTACGCACTTACCCCTTAAGCATACGACTCGTATGTAACCTTGAAGCATGCAAAATGCCTAAAGCCAAGTGTCTCGTTGCAGGGAGCCGGCGATGAGGCCCGACATTGGGATCTGCCTGATGAGTGGGACATAACAAAAACCAGCAAACCACCTAAACGCCCTCCAGACGCAATTGCTATCCTAAATCCGTAAAAACAAGAAATTCTGGTGACACGACGAAAGCCTCCTACTGGACCGCTCAACAACAACAACAAAAACAACAACAACAACAACAACAACAACAACAACAACAACAACAACAACAACAACAACAACAACAACAACAACAACAACAACAACAACAACAACAACCACAACCACAACCACAACCACAACAACAACAACTACTACTACTACTACCACTACTACTACGGCGACGACTACTACTACTACTACTACTACTACTACTACTACTACTACTACTACTACTGCAACCGGTTTTGAGAATTTCGGGGTGTAAGAGCAGGAGCAAGAGCAAAAGCAAAATCAGGAGGCACAACAAGAGCAAGAGCCGCACGCGGAGCAGGAAGCTTCTCCCCAAGGTGGCAGTAGAGATAAAACCACACCCTAATGATTTTATCACTTCTCGAGATTTTCTTCAGGGGGGCCGTTTCATATTGTGATGGGGTTACTGCTGCTGCAACTGCTGCTACCGTACTACTACAGTTTTATTCTACACTACTAGGCTGCTGTTGCTGCGGAGGGGGGTCACAGAACACAGTGCTTTCGTCAATATGGGTGGTTGTCAAAATTAGGGTCCCTTTTTGGGTCCCTAATATAGTACGGCACCTAATATTTATGGTACCCAAAAAGGAACCAGAATTTTGACAACCACCCATATCCTAACCTGAAGAGCTCGAAGGGCAGAGTCCCAGTCTTGTGGTGCGGCGTTGATAGCACATGGTCCCTGTCTCAAGGTTGATTGACTGAACACTTAATACTAATAGTAATACCCATACTAATATTACTACTATTACTACTAATACTAATATGAATACTAATACTAGTATTGCTACTATTACTAATACGAATACTAATATGAATACTAATACTAACAAGCCTTTGTCCAGGTTATCGCCGCGGGGTCCAGTATGCCCCCATGTCCGAACCTGACACTGGCAAGCCAGCCAAGCGAAGAGTGCACCGAAGAATCTATGCACCGGAAAACCTCACCCCGGAACCCCAACTGCATGCTTGCTTTGGCTTCGCCCGACTCCGCAAGGAGAAATCCCGGCTCTGAACAAGGCTGTTAGGCTGTTAGAATCTTTCACTCCGAGCTCCTCTCGCCCCAAAATCCTCGGACACGAAACCATTCCGCCAAATCCAGACTGTGGCCGCAAAGTGCAGGCGGAAGATGGTGCTGAAAGCCAGCCAGGCTCGAGGGTCCCAAAGAGCTGTGGAGTGTGGTCAGGGTTGTTGGGGTTCAATGCTGAGGGTTTCGACATGACTATACCAACAATCCTGCCCAGAGCCCTACTCTTACAAGGCCCCTATAGTAGCTGCTTTTCTTCAAGTCCCTTTTGCCTATAGCAGCTAGGGGCGTGACAAATGCAAAAACAAACCTATGACATCCGAAAGGCAACAGAAAGCAACAACAGCGACAAGTCGTCATTGTGTGTTCCTGGAACCAACACCGTGTGAACTGCGCCAGAGTCTTGCCATGCCGCTATCACAAAGAACAAAAACTGCACCATCTTGGTTCCAAAGTCTTTCCCAGATCTTGAACCGCCCAAAAATTGATCATGTGCTTCTGCTGTTGGAGGCTCGGCCGGTTTCGGGTTAAAGGATGTGCAGGACAGTGTTAAAGGTGTGCGGTCACGGGCACCCTTACACGCTCCTCGTTGGAAAGCCGTTAGGGTTCGGGGTGGCTCTGACTTTGAAAGACATCCCCGATCTCGCGCAAGCGTTGTAAAATCATTGCGTCTTCATGCCTCTGTACGGTCCTTGCATCCCCACATGCCGACCACATCCTCATATTTAACCACAGTATACCACAGTGGTACCAAAGTTCCCTTGCTGATCCGTTGCGCGCAGCTCGATGTTCTCACCAGCACCGCAACCTCAGTTTTCCAACAAGGGGCGTCGGTGGATCGCACTGCAACCCGCCGCGAGCTAGCCACCGCAGCCCAACGACACAGATCCTCAAGCTCCGACACTACAACACATCCAATTTGATGGTTTAGGGTTGAGAAGCCTAGATTATCCTTTGCCAAAAGCCATAGGCTTAGTGCCCTTCTGATGCTTAACGCGACCCCCTGAGGTGAGCAGCAAGTCGCTGCCCGAGCCACTGACCAGGCGAATCGGGAGGGTGCTCGCTCAACGGTTTATCTTACCTTTGGTTAGTAGGGAATGGAAGAATGGTAGTAGTAGTAGTAGTAGTAGTAGTAGTAGTAGTAGTAGTGGTAGTAGTAGTAGTAGTAGTAGTAGTAGTAGTAGTTAGAATTGTACCCCATTCCTCCATTCCCTACTAACCCAAGGCAAGTTCATGGCTTAAGGCTTAATTCGGGTTACAAGTAGGATGTGATCCTCATCCTACAGTTGGACATGTGGTCCTCGCTCATGTGGCTACGATGTAATTTGCATTTGGCTGCCATTGTATAGACTGTCATCCTGGTTCATTACTGATGGTCGGCGCTCTTATCCAGCATTGAACCAGACATTAGGACTACTCGCATCCCGCAGTGTTGTTGCACCTAGGCTGCCCCGCCTGCATCGTCCGAGTTGGGAGCTCCAAGAAATCCGGCAATCCCAAACCCTAAAAAAGCAAAGAATCTTGCCATGCTTGCTGTGGTTTGCAATGCGGGAGGCATTTGAACCCAAATCCCGAACTTGCACCGTGCTTCCGGATGAGAACTTAAATGAAGCCAGGTGCAGGTCTTGCGTCGATGCGGTGACCCGGAACCCAACAGCCTGCCATGAAAACCTAAATTCAACACTAGCTTGCCAACACTAGCTTTTGAGCCAAGAACCACGATTTGGGGTTTGGGGTTCCTTGAAACGGGCCTCCACACCGAAGTTATGTTTCGCATTGCACGGTGAGTTACCAATAATATGGCAGGTGAGAGTTCTCCGGTCCACGTGTTGAAACCATCGCCGGGGCAACAAATGGGTTGAGCATGAACGCCTGAATGAATGCTGAGCTCTAATCCAAAACTTGTTGCGATCCCCTGACAGGCCAATGCCAAAGTCGAGGTGCCCGTACAGCTTTGCTCGAAGACCAGCACATAAAAAATGTAATTAGAGCAGAGACGGACACCGACACATAGCTGTGTGTCTGCCTATCCGTCCATCTGTTTTTGTCCCCTTGTGTTTGTAACACATAGCACTGTTTTCCTATCTAGCTGTGAAACCGTGGTTTTCCTTTACAGATCCCACAGCGTGCCTAGCATTTCCATTGCGGCGTTAATGCTACTTGCCTGCGGATATCGCTGCATGCCCTGGACTGGTGACTGGAGGACGCCGACAAGAAGCCCGTGTCGAAAGGCATGGCTGGAACAAAAGTGCCGCAAAACTTCAATGACGCTGGGCTGCAGCGACTTTCCTTCAGGGACCTCAAGTCGCCTGCTCTCTCAAACCTTGTTCAGCACAAGAACAAACCAGTAAGACCTGGCAGCCGTGGTATACCCTATGGCTTTGTGACACCTGCAGGAACTCCATGTCAGAGCGACCATGCGGGGCATCAAGTTCACGCCTTCGCAAGATGTTTATCATTAGGATACACCTCGAGACCCTCTTTCTTTTTGCCTCTGCTTGCTTGAAAGTGTCAGGAAATGTTCACCTTCAATGCCGCAGTCATGGGCTTTTCGAACAGCCTGGCTTGGATGAATCCCGCGCCCTGGACGTAAGACTATATAGGTCGCAGTCGTCGTCATCGCCGCGGACCGTCGTGGCAGCGATAGAACTCGTGTCAATTTTCGAGCATATCGGCATTCGTATCATTAGAATGAGTATAGGTATTGGTATAATAGTCATTGTTGTTACCATTGTAATGCTTGCTTGTAATGCTTGTTCCGGAAACACGCTCAAACTCGTCAGAAGAGTGTGAGGGCACGTGGATGGGTTGCGCGCTACCTTCAGCAGAAAACTGACAGGTCGTTGCAACGCATCATTGTTTTGGCACAGGATCACAGGGTCTCCAGGTAGCACAGTATTGTATGCCTTACCACAAAGCCTACAAAGCGCACCCTGAGGACGTCAACCTCAGTGTTAGTGCTGGAGTGGAAAAGCAGCATGACGAACTCATAGTCAGAGCAGCCAACAGGCAGGCACTCCGTCAGACCACTTTCTTCCAAGTGTGGCCGGGTGGCAGGGCAGTACTTCAAACAGTGCGTTACGGTGGCATCCTCCGCTTGGCACAGGGGGCACCTAGGGAAGGCTACAATATTTTGCAGGTCCTGCGATCCTGCAACCAGCTGTAGCGGCCACAAGCCCGTGAGGCGAACGAAGGCCCACAGTTGGACAGCACCCCACAAACTAAACGGAGCCGCGCGAAGCAGCCCAGCCCAACCCTGATCAAGCCGCAGGGGACACAAATCAGAATAGCAGACCCCCAGGCTTGGAAGGTCCTTAGCGGCGGCTGTTTGGAACTCTTTGTTGTCCAAACCAATGAAAAAGGGTGCCACCACATGCTTTTTGTAAGCTGCCAAAATACTCTTCCGGATCGATTTGTCCATTCTGGCTGCAAGCACTTCTTCCTGATTGCAAACTCCAGAATCTTGCAATAGCGGCAAGTCCCCATGTTGTCTTCGGAGATCCTGCACCGCATGCAGCCATGTGCCAGACACCAACGTCTGGGCAAGGGCTGTCATACGAGCAACGGGATGCTCAAGAGGCAGCAGGTGGATTTTGGCCAGATAGACAAGAGCGCGGATCTTTGCCTTTGACGCAAGCCGGAGGCTCCATCCCACCGTTGCCACTGCCAAGACACCCCTAATAGCCGCACCAGCCTTATCTGCCAGGATGGATCTAGCCCAAGACGCTTGCAGTGTGTTAAGTTTCCCGTAGATGTCCGGCACAAGAGGTAACAGTTCAGCGGCATATAACATCACCGGCTCGATGCGCTCGATGACAGCAATGGAGAGTACTGGCGGCGGAAAGCCTGCTTGGCCTGCCACGCCTTTAAGTTCGGTGAACAAGCCCTGCCCGGCGCGACATATGAAATCGGCCCTGGCTTTGAAGGAAAAATCTCTCTCCAATTGGACCCCTAACAGCTTGTAGTTCTCACACATAATGCTGCGAAGCGGCACATCTGGGGCACTGAAGCACGGCATGATAGCAGTCTTCGTAGGCCCCATATTGAACTGAGCTTTAACAGCAGTAGCGTAGGCCTGCAAACCCTCCGTAGCGGCATGGCAGACAGTGACTTCAGACGCAAAAGAAGCAACCACATCATCCACAAACAGTAGGGCCCCCAGTGGGGAGTGACCAAGGAGCTCCACCACATGCTGGCGCTCACTGACATCACGAAGGCGAGCAATATCATGAATGGCTACTCTTCTGCAGAACGCGAGGTCAACACCCTCATCACGGAGCGAGCGCAATCTCAAAACAATTTGAGGCGCAGAATAGCAAGGGCTCAATCTGCAGATCTCGGGGACTGGCGTGAGGCCCGTCCAAAGGCCCGACACTGCTTCTGCTGCATATGGGGGCAGGATAGTCATGGCAGGGACGCAAAACGACGTCAACACTTCGCGAAGAAGATTCATGAGTGCAGTGAAAACATGTACAGCGAAGCGCTTACCTTGCGGGATACCAGCACGAAACTTGACAGCATCAGAGATCAGCCCACTGAGAGACACCGTAGCAGAATCCATGTGAATAAAATCCCAGAGCAAATTCCATTCAACACCTACAACACCCGCGCAATAGGAAGCCGCCAATAGGGCATCGTGGCCAGCTGTATCATATGCAGCCTGCAGGTCTGCAAAAAGCAGGTATGTCTTCAGGTCTTGCATGTGCCTGATTTGGACATGAAGCACAACTGCCAACACCACAGACATTGTGTCAAACTTACCACCAAGTTGATTACAGCCAGTGAAATTTTCCAACACTGGTTGGCACCGACCTAGCCACAAAGCGTCTTGGACAGTCGCAATATCCGAAGCGATGCTGATAGGCCGAAGGTTTACAATCTTCCTAACCACTTTAGGTCCCTTCTTACGCAAAGGCGTAATACGCCTGACACACCAAAGGGAAGAAGTCAGCTCGCAAACCCTTGCCAGGTTGACTAAAGCAAAGGTCAATGCACGAGCGGCGGGAGCAGCAGCTTTCACTGCTGCCAATGGTCCATATGCGCTTTGCTTCTTGACTTTGATGTTGGCCAAAACAGCTTCAAACTCAGACCAACTATACAGTGCAGTGTTTGTGCCAGTGTTGACTGTCGGGACAACCATGATGCCGGGAATGCCCCGGGCGGGTGCACCAAACCGGCGAATGGCAACCACGGTGTCGCGTAGCGCCTGTGCCGACCCAGGATCCTGTGGGAAATCGTTGTCTGCTCTATCGATCAAATCCTGCTGTATTTCCAACAAAGCCTCCTGTGTACTGAGCAACTGGTCGGAGTCTTCATCTGTAAGATGGATATGAAAATCGTTGGGCTTCTTAAACCAGGAAGAAAGGAACCTCTTGCTTTCATTGGGGTTGGACGCCAGCAGTGACAAGAACTTGTTGACACATCTTCGTTTCGTGGCTGCATCAAATTCAGCAACAGCATGCTTATAATCATCGTAAGAAGCGAAATTTTGAACCTGTGGGAAACTTGCCGTCCAAGGTTGCTCTTTCTGGGCTCCTTTCCTGGCGTACACTAAGCCTGCGCAATGGCCAAGGATACAAATGAAAACTTCGCGAATCCAAGCTCCCGCATCCAAAACGGCACGCTTGCGTTTGATCGGCATGTTATGGCCAAACTCATCAATCTCATTCTGGGCTTCAGATATGACGCAGACAGCCAAAGCAAAAGCCGAGCTAGCATCTTCACAAACGGTATCCCACTCGGACGACAGTGCCCACATGACTCGGCCCACAGATGTAGGAAACGAAGCCTGGAGCCTTGCAGGGCACCTGGCAATAACCAAAAAATGATCAGACAAACCCACAGATTCCTCGATAACTTCGACCGGGACATTCGCATCACCTGCCCCGAGCACCAGATCAATAGTTGTGCCGCTTACATGCGTGGGTTTAGGCGGGTTGTAACAGACGAGGCCCGCGGCAACAATTCGTCTTTCAATTTCTCTGTCCACGGAGCTCTGGCGGCAGTGTACACAACGACACTCTGCCTGGTGAGAGACCACCGTCTCTAGGTGTATGTTGGCATCCCCTGCGATCAAGATACGAGTTCCTGGGTAGCACGTCTTTAGATGCTGGTATTCATCCAAGATCTGCTGCCATGTTTCCAGGTCGCCTCCTGGCTTGGGGTAGATCGCTCCCAGAATGACAGCTGGCCCCTGTGTGCGGTCACTACCGCGGACTAGTAACCACAAAATCACTGAGGACCCCAACTGTTCAATACATGAGACTTCCGTGTCCAACTCAGTAGCCACCAGGACCCCAACTGCTCCCCAGGAAGACGTTTGCACGCCCAGCCACTTGAAGGGAATTCCAGGTGGCAGTGTGCTACCAGGTGGCCATCTCGCCCCCGGCAAAACACAAATCTGGATATTTCGCTCTACCAACACAGAACAAATATGAAACAAACGCCACCACAAAATGTCTTCACCGGCAACTGTGGAGAGCCCAATTCTTCCAGGGTTGAGAATTGCGAATGTTAATGATTCATTCACCACACTAGGCAGCGAGTCGCTATGATCGTGCAGCGGCACACCTCCAAAATAAGGCGAGACCACCCGAGACACTTTACGCACGCAAGACTTTGCAGTCGGTATCAATGTATCATGCAGAAATCCTTTCAGGCTCGCAACAAAGCTCGCAAGGGGCTGCAGGCGTGCGAACCGCCTGCGCCCATCTGTCGCTAAGTTGCCAGGATTCTGGGGCGCCAACTCATAAAGGCCCTGGAAGTCTTTGAGAGCTGCATTAAGCTCCAATTGCTTGGGATTCTGGGCCAACCACGCAGTCGCCACAGCGCTTAACTCATCTATACATACTTTCACGTGCTGCTCGCCTGGCACATCCATGGTCCCTAAACCCAAGAGTCACAACCAGCACCAAAGGGGGCTTGGGCGGAAGCAACGGCGAAGCAAAGGCAACAGATTAAGCAACCTGGGCGACAGATCCTCTATGGAACATGCAACAAACATAAACAGGCACACTACAGCTACAAGGCTCGAAAGCGCGGGCCGACAGGCCACCCAAGGCACGATAAAAGCAAGAGCCCAAGGCACGAGCTTCAAGGCTATCCGAGGCACGACAAACGGGCCACAACGCCAGCCGAGGGGCCACTGACCAAGGATTGGCAAAAGAAAAAAAAAAACTCACACATGAGGCGAAGGCACGGGCCGAGAGGCTACCCAAGGCACACACACACACACACAAATACATAAATAATAAAAATAAAAATAGAATAATAATCCCAGGCACGGCCCGCAAAGCCACTCAAGGCACGAAAGTGCCAACCGAGAGGCCGCCACCTGCACCGCAAGAGCCGAAAGGCTATCCAAGGCGCAAAAGCACGGGCCGAGGGGCCACCCAAGGCACAAAAAAAAAAAATACAAAAAGTAATATAAAAAAAACAATAATCAATAACGAGAAAAACAATCCAGGGCACGGGCCGAAAGGCCACCCAAGGCACGAAACTGCGAACCGAGAGACCACCAGCTGCACCGCCAGCGCCAAGGATCCCAAGGACGAGCCGAAAGGCCACCCAAGGCACGAAAGCATGGGCCGCGAGGCCACCCAAGGCACAAAAAAAAAAAAATAAAATAAACAATAATCCAAGACACGAGCCGAAAGGCCACCAGCTGCACCGCAAGAGCCAAGGATCCCAAGGACGAGCCGAAAGGCTACCCAAGGCGCAAAGATACGGGCCAAAAGGCCACCCAAGGCAGAACAAAAAAAAAAAAAAAAAACAGTATAAATAATGAATATTCCAAGGCACGGCTCGAAAGGCCACCCAAGGCACGAAAGAGCCAACTGGAAGGCCACCAGCTGCACCGCAACGGCCAAGGATCCCAGGAAGGCTACCCAAGGCGCAGAGGGCAAAGTGCCCACCAAGAGGCTACCAGCTGCCGAAAGGCCACCCAAGGCGCGAAAGCACGGGCCGAGAGGCCACCCAAGGCACGAAACGACAAAAAAAAAAAAGATAATAATAAATAACGAAATAACACTCCAAGGCACGGGCCGAAAGGCCACCCAAGGCACGAAAGTGCCAACTGGAAGGCCACCAGCTGCACCGCAACGGCCAAGGATCCCAAGGACGAGCCTAAAGGCCACCCAAGGCACGAAAGCACGGGCCGCGAGGCCACCCAAGGCACAAAAAAAAAAAAAAAAAAATAAACAATAATCCAAGGCACGGGCCGAAAGGCCACCAGCTGCACCGCAAGAGCCAAGGATCCCAAGGACGAGCCGAAAGGCTACCCAAGGCGCAAAGGTACAGGCCGAGAAAAACCGAAATACTAAGGCCGCCCAAGGCACGAAAATGCCAACCGAGAGGCCACCAGCGGTACCGCAAGAGCCACGGATCCCAAGGACGAGCCAAAAGGCTACCCAAGGTTCAAAGACACGGGCCGAAAGGCCACCCAAGGCACAAAAATACTAAAAAAAAAACAAAAACCTAAATAATAATCCAAGGCACGGCCTGAAAGGCCACCCAAGGCACGAACGCGGCAGCTCCAACGCTAGGCCATGAGGCCCTCCAAAGCATCAGACTCCAAACTCCACACTTCCAGCCGAAAGGCCAATCCACATGGCACCAAAGACAAGCAACCTTATAACAGCACTTATAATGGCGCATCCATTGGGCAGAGCATGCCGGGCGGACAAAGCGAGCACTCAAGCACCGTTTGCATCGCCAGCATAGCGGTTTAGCACGCATGTCAACATGCACGTCCACGTGGCAAGCCACGACATAATTAAAGGAGCTCACTGCTAATTGCTGCCCTACAGGGCGCTCCGCAGCAGCGATGCAGGGCTCAACTATCAGATGCCCCACTCATCAAGCTAACAACAGGCCCAAAAAACGGAACTACCTTTCGCATAAGTTCCATAGTGAATACAGACCTGCGGCCTTTGAATACAACTTGGCACAAGCGACTGTGGACTTGCGCTGTCACCTTGGTCGAAGCGGTTAAATGGATTGTCACACTGGGTTGGCCCTTTTGGCCTCCGACCACACCATAAGGGTATTTTCCTCCAAGCTGGACGCCTAGAGCACCCTGGATCACAACGCCAAGCGCCGAGACCCTGCTATTAAGTTCCTGGGAGCTCTTCACCGGTGGGCTGGGGTGAAACACTGCCGTCACATTCGCACGAGGGGCCGGAGGCAAGCTGCTGATCTTCGATGAGAAGTTATCAAGGGCCTTCAAAATCTCACTATCCAGTTTCAAGACCTGCAAGTCATGAACTTCCCGAGCTTCGCTCTCACCAGCACTTGGGCCAGCGGGGGCGCCATCGCATGCTGGAGCTGACAGAGCTGGCCCTACGGACTTTGGCTGGGACAGAGTGCCACAAGCCTCAGCCAAGGCACTCCGAAGCATCCCTTGGAACTCCAAGCGAAGCTCTTGCCCGAGCGCTAGCAGCTTAGGTTGCAGAGCACGAGTTACTCTGGCATCAAAGTCATCCTCGCCCACGTTGTAGCGCAGCCTATTACGCGGCAAAGGGGATCGGGACCTCGAGACTGTAGTTCGCAGGGAGTTAGCGCAGAAAGAGCGAGTCCCAGCTGAGCTGCGGGGGCTGACAGACCCTGGTGACACCCCATCGTCATACTTAGAACTCTGCCTCAAGTATGCATCCTCTTCCAAGTCTTCGAGGAAAACTCGGAAGACTGCATTGACACGTTTCTGTGCGTCATCCATGGCCTACAGGCTAGCAACAGACCAAAAAAAACACTACAACCTTTCACACCGCTCGAGCCGCCCTGGAGAGGCCATGCACGAGTCGCACTACATCCGAACACAAACCGCAAAAAACCGAAATTACCAAGCAGCACCTCATCGCACACGCGTCGATTCCTCCAAGAATCCCGCAATGAAAGAACAACAAAAAACTCGCAGCAACTACCATGCGAGAGCGCAGCTGCCTTCTGCACCTGTGTCATGCAAATGACAAAATAAAACAGGGAGAGGCGAGAGAGGAGAGAACAACGAGAGAGACGAAAGGGCACGTTTTCAAACGAAGGGCACCCAAAACAAAACAAAGCCACCCCCTCCCGCCCGGGCCGAGCCCACGACCTACGAAGGGGGAAAAGGGGCCACGTCACAAAAAGATGAATTTTGGGGGAGAAGACCCGAAAAAAATGAGAGTGCCCCCGCCAAAGGAGTGACACGGGGTCTGGATACCCCATCACACGACCAACCCCCACCCGAATGAACGAAGACGACGCAGAGAAGGACCGCCAAAACCCCCCCCCCCCCCCCAAAAAAAAAAAAAAAAAAAAAACGTTGGACGACCTCAGAACTTCTAAGGCATCACTCGCAACTTCTGGTCTTACTGAAGTCATTTGTGTGTCATGTCGTCGAGGAAGCTGCGGTCGCGAAAAACTATGCAGCACAACTGAGTCACATACAAGCAGCAAGTTTACACAAAAGGCTGCGCAGTATAGCAGCACCACATGCAACTTCATGCAACATGCAAAACGGCTGCGGGGCCTAAACCCCAAAGCCAGACCCCATAGTCGTCGTGGTAAAGTTCTTGGGAGGAGTTCCACCGGTGATCGGCAGCTATTTGCATAACTATACTCCACTGCCTCTGGAGCCGAGCAGGGTGTCTGTTTTCAATCAATAAATCGATAACGCTGACCAATGGCATGCACTCCTCGTGCCTTCAATGATTCATGACCCCAGTTCCGTCGCGGCTACGCCACAAACAGGTGCTCGATCAGTTCGAGGCGATGGTTATGTCCTTCGGCAGGTGATGCAGTTCTATCGATTCCAGGGTTTCGGAGTGATATATGAGGCATAAGCCTTGGAGTAGTCCGTGTCTTATGCCATCCTCCTATGTCTATAAGAGAAAAGGATCCACTCCCGGAGCGCTACCCTAAACAACTTTGTATCATGCAGATTGTGAGCATGTTGAAAGGCCGTTTTTGGATGCTGGGGATTTTGGAGCATAAGTTGTCCAGGGCCCAGGTGAGTCCCGGAAATCCACGTCATCGAGCACAAGAACCTCACCATGCGGACGATATTGATACCTCCTCGTAGCGCTAAACAAGGCTAAATCAAGTTCCACAACGCCGTGTGAGTCCCATCGTATGCTGGTGCGAAGATGAAGCCATCGTTTCCGTGTGTGGGACATCCAATCCGTAAGCTTTTGCTGACTGCTTCCTGGCTGTCTCTTAGAGTCTAGGGGTCTAGGAAGCAATCCAGGCATTCTCAGCTTTTGCCATTGCCCTCATCCAAGGAATGCAGCGAATTCGTACAGACTACAGGAGGAGTGCGATGTACTGTCCTTGATACTGGTGAAGTACAAGGAGCGATACGACAGTGCTCAGTGGCTTCCAGCAAGGCATAACTTTTCTTTTGGGCTTGCTGTGTCCATGAACCAGAAATGCAGCATAGACCCGACAGCCTGAGCTGCTTTACGGGGAAATGTTCTTTCGCGATAAGGTCCTAAGTCCTGAACCGCTTTGCCATTGAGAGTTCACGGCTCAACAGCATGACGCCGACTTCGAGCAGAGAGTGGATCTCCTCAACGGATTTGCTTGCAGATACGGTTGCTGTCGGTCCCTGAACAAAGGCCACGTAGAGCGGGCGGTGAGCGTTTCCCGAAAAGACTTCTCTGTGTCTGCCGGTTCCGAGACTTCTCCGTTTGCAATCTCATTCTGACGGTGACAGATGTGGGAGTCTCCGAAAATGGGGGACCCTAACATAGTACCCTAAATAGTAGGATCCTTATCATATTGACCCCAAATAGGTCGGTTCCTGAAGTTTTTTTCTGACCGCGCAGGAGACCATCATCTACTCGGAGTTTAAGGCTTCATGCGTTCCAGGGGGGTGCATTGCATAACTGACGGCGTTTGGGTTGGTTCATGTTCGCTACCAGGCTACCACACTGACAATGCCGGGAACTCTACAACGTTCTGTCGGTTTGGCTTCGTGATGTGACAAAAAGAGGTGTTGGACTTTTGAAGTCCCAAGAGTTGGTCGATGCTCTTCAAAACTTTCAGCTGAAGAAGGAATAAGCTTTGGAGCTTAATGCGGGTTGATAGGGTCAGAGGTGCGGGGTAAACTTCGAATTTCGGGGGGTTTCAGAAACCCTGGGGTCTTCCACACTTCGGAATGGAGCCCAGGGGTTTAGGGTTTAGGGTTTCTATGCAAAAGGCAGGAACCTGGAACCTAGAAGCTGCTGGTTTGTCCGCTTGGGTAACTTTCCCCGATCTTCCCTTATAAGGGTCCATGTGCCGAAGTAGTATATACTTTGGCCCCAATGTACCTATATAGGGACTACTGTAAGGCCAATGTATACTATTAAGGGTACATGGACCCTATCCTATATTGGGTTCATTTTATCTTCACAGACAGTCACCGCCTCTTGAACCCGATTTCATGCCTTTGCGCTGGGACGTCGCAAGGCCGTTATGCTGGCATCGCTGCGCTCTCTGGTCCCCAAAATCTGGGGCGTGGAGCACGAGGTAGCGTTCGGCATGGTGGGGATGGCATGCGAGAGGAATGAGGGATGGAGGCTAAACTAGATCCGAGACCCGGTCCGAGACAGATGATGACGATGATGATGGGGATGATGAATCGCTGAGGACGATGAGCATTAATCGTTAACGCGGAAACGGGGTCAAGAAGGAGCGAGCAGGAGGACATCGGCGACCCGACTTCACGTTGCTTCAGATGCGAGACTTAAAGAAACTCATGTTTCGGAATTGCAGTGTGAGTCTCATGAGCAGCGTGTTCACACTCCAGGATGTACCTCAGAACTGAACACACGCCCCCACAAACAGAAACAAACACACCTCCGCATCTCCAGAACAGCAGCCACAAGTAAGACCTCCCCAAGCACGGAACGCAGTGTGGAATCGAATCGAGCTCGAACCTGACCGTCCGTCGACGACTGCCAGGTTGGTGTAGGTCCTGGGACGTATCTTGTATCATGAGTGGTTGCAGCGACAGCCACAGGCTATGCACAGAACGTCTCCCTGCTCCAGCAACCTTAAAACCCGCAAAGTCGGATATTCGACAACCCGTAAAGGCTGAGTCCAGCAAGCAAAACCGGCAAAACCTCGTCTAAGGTCGCATGGACGTGGTTTTGGGACAACACAGAGCGCATGATCAAGCGGCAAACCGCAAACATCAAAGGAGCCGGTACGGGAGTGGTCTGTCCAGACCTTAGGGGGCTGTGCGTGCTATTGTGTGCTTGTGTGCGCGGTTTCGGTAACCCGGTAGTCTTGTAGGGTTTGTGTTTATTGTGTACATAAGACATAAGCCATTCAACCTAGTTTCACGGAGTTTCATCGGGATATAGTCGCCTGTCCTATCGTGGTTCTTATGGCTTGACTCGTCGCAGTGCTTTGAAACTGCTGGTTCTCCTCTCTCTCCCTCTCTCTCTCGCTCTGTTTCGCTCGTGAGCCCTATCTTTCATACCGTCAGTGATGGTAACTGGCCCGGTGAGGTGTCACTTTTGTGTGTTTACTGGTATTGCTTGCTTGCATTGCTCATTGCTCTCTGGTACACTGATAGACTGATAGACTTCCTTCGCACACTTCTGGGCACTTCTTGGCTAAGCACGGTCAGTCTAGTTAAGGCTGGGTAGGACTCGCTGGTTGACACCAAGAGCCCAGCTGCAAAAAGGGCTGGGTAGGGCCGTAATTGATCTATGTCCGGAGCTCGTTCAAGAGAGATCCCCGAAGCTCCCGAACTGAACGCAAGCATGGCGCGGATTGGTGACGGTTTCCGGTCTGCCGGCAGTTGCTCTTGCGGTCTGCGCTCCCGCCTGATCCGTGGCTGTGCTATGCTTTGCAGGATACCAGCGGGCTGCAGACCGGTTCATCAGGCACCTGACTGATGATGTCGTTACGCAGATGCGGAAAGATATCTACAAGGTCTTTTTCGGGCAGCCTGGCTGCAGTTTACAGCATGCAGATGCCATCGCTAGACTCGCCAGGTATGCGAAAACAAAAGTAGGGCATGCCATCTCTGCTGCCGGGTCAAAAGAGTGAAGAGTGCAGTATAGTGCAGTACATAAGCCACTCTTTTCCTTCAGGCTCCGAAGCTTCCTGCGCGGGATTCGGAATGATTCGGGCTCTTTTTTCGAATCTTGCGTGAAGAAGCACTCGCCAAGTAGTGGCATGCATTTACGTTGCACAGGCTTGGTTGCCATGTGGTGTGTCTTTCTTGTTGGTTTCCAGACCCAGCACTCAGTCATCTCTTGCCACCGTACTTCAGCTTGCATCAGTGTCCTCTGACTGAGGCTGGCGCCCAAAGGGCAAGACTACTTCAAGCAGTCTTCAACTCGATTGAACTTCATCGCAGACAAGGTGCGACTGCATAATTTCGTGTACAAGGAGCCCTGCCGCTACTTGGGGCGGAGGCAGCTCTTGGGCCTGGGATATCAGAGGGCCATCATGGAAACCGATGCCTCTTCCTTTCGTATCACTTTGTAATGCCAGGACTCGCGACATTGAAGTCACGGAAATTTCCGAAGAATCCGACGAGTTTAGCTGAATTGCTTTCGCATTCATTGTCCTTGCTAAACCGTGAATGCCCCAACTCCTATGCCTAAACTGTCTGCCCAAGTAAACTGCCAACTTCAACGACTTCGGCTCTGAAGTGGGTTAGGTGCTGGAGATGTCATTGGAGATGTACAAGAGGCACCGAGAACAAACACGTTTTTGAGGTTAAGGGGTTATTGCAGCGTGGAGGCTTCAAGGGCTGTCCAATCTGGGCTATGAGATAGTGAGGTCCATCATACGGTTGCTACTACTCCTCCTCCTGCTGCTGGCTACTGCTAGTACGACTACTGCGACTACGACGGCTGCAGCTGCATGCTGGTGCTGCTGCTGCTGGCTCCTGCTCCTGCTCCTGCTCCTGCTCCTGCTCCTGCTCCTGCTCCTTTGCTGCTACTGCTGCTACTTCTACCACGACGACGACGCCTAGTACTGTTACTGGCACTACGAATACCCCCGCTACCGCCACTGCCGCTGCCATTGCCATTGCCACTGTTATTGCCACTACTGCGACGACCACGACAATCAGTACTCGTACATGTGTAATAATGAAAATAGTGCGTAAAACTATTTGTTCGACGGGTATTAGATGTGCTAGTGGAAGAACAGGAATATTGAAAAGACGTAGTTGTTGCCATATGGACAGATCTTGTCAAGGGTCCTGATGAATTAGCCGGCGTGCAGGCATGAGGGTGCGGGGGCCTGCGTCGTACATCACGTGACCTATCCTGGTTCCAGTTTACATGATGGTTTGCTCTTCTGTTGCGGCCGAATGAAGAATCTAATAACTATTGTATTGATTGTATAGTTTATGTCAACCAGCTGTTCAACGATTCTGGTTGGAAAGGTCGACAGTTGCTGTATCGCACGACCTAATACCCTGCTGCAAGTCGAAAGCCTTTGTTTCTAAGCCCCGTGCAAGACCCTAAGCGGCTTCCTTCCCAGCTGGCCTTGCGCACCGAAGCCCTTTCGTTGCTCTTACCTGACAGTTTTGTGAAAGTTGAGGGTTTGTAGTGTTTTAGGGGCCGCAACCCTGGGATTTCCACTCTTCAATCTGGACACAGACTCCTTTGTATCGCGCCTGTCTCAATCCGAAGCCCAAGCCCTTCACCCTACGCCACTTCCCCGAAGCTGCAAGCTAAATCCTGAACGCCGAGCCCTAAGCTTGAACCCCAGCACTTCATTCTAAGTATTGCCTCGTGAGTGCGTGAGTGTTAAAGCCTAAATCCTTGTCGCCATATCCGTGAACCCTTAAGCCCCACAAGCCTAAGCCACGACACTTCGAGCATCTCTGATGCCGGAAACCCTGACACTGACAGCCCTGAACATCCTAAATCCTAAACATTGACACCTCACCCTTACCCTACGAATCACTGCCCCAAAACCCTAAACTTCTAAACTCTGCTGGGCAGATGGCTTTAATGAACTTAAACAAACTTCAACTTTTAAACCCTTAAACCTGGAGGCAAACACAAAGACCTGTGAACCCAAAGCCCCTCAAGACACGAAGCTTTCTCGAGGCCGCGGGGGATGGTCGAAGAAATCTCGGCTCTGGGATTGCGCCCCTCGGTGTTCAAAGGCTTTAGCTTAGGGATTAGAGTTAGAGGACAATATAGATTATATAGGGCTTAATTATGTAGGTTTTTCGAATTGATGTTTGTGGATTTACGGGGTGTATAAGAAAGTTTTGGGTTTGGGCAACAAACCAGGCCCAACGTGGTAAGCATGACCATACCCCTTCAACCAGTCCCTGCATAAGCCGAGTACAATACGCCCCAGAACCCCACGCAATCATCAATGCTCCCGATATTACTCTGGTTTTGGCCTGACGCAGCACCTGCATGGGCTCGGGGCTGCTCGCCTTTGTAGCGACTTAGGGCCCCAATCACGAATCCTTGAACCCTAAAGTCTCGCATGTATGGCTTGGGGTAGGTTCGTGTAGTGCTCTACCAACCCTGAACGTCAGACGTGCCGACATATCTGATCTCTAAGGAATGTTTCGTCGTCAAAGTCAAGTAATTAGATGATCTAGAGACTCTAAAGCAGGGTGCTGCTCGCGTTGTAGTGCCGGTTGAGTCTGGCTTCTTATCAGCACCCGCCCCCCCTTTCCCCCCTTCCAGAGGAGTTTAGGCTGAAAACCCCAAACTGTGCGGTGACGCTTTTGCAAATAAGTGGAGGGCGGCCAGACCGGCAAGGCCACGGAGGTATAAAAAGTTTTGGTTGAAATTTTCTCCATGTTTCAACATCACCAGGTTCGCCATCGTAAATGGCGGCCCTGGGCCCGACGGCCACGGGGATAGTAGAAAAGATTTGTCTAGTTAAGACTATGCATGTTCAACAGTCATCACCGTAGACTCAGGATGCAACGACAGGGACGGAGAGAGAAATCCCCTAGAACCCGCGTCACACCTAAATGATGCCCTAAGCCCCAAACCCGATTTTGTTTCCGAACTTGTAGATCGAATTGCGAGCTCCACAACATGATGCATCCACTGTGCTCTGATCTAATTGCTGTGGCTGCTGCTGCTGCTGCTTCTGCCACGGCTGCTCCTCCTCTTCGTTCCAGATCTACTGCCGCAATTTGTCAGTGCTACTGCTGGTGCTACTGCTACGACTGCTACTCTGTCTCGCCGGCATGAGGATCGTATCCTTAGTGGTGGTAGTGATGACGATCAGAGATGCGGAAGATGTTCATCATCACCACCAACCAATGGAAGCTGTAACGAAGCACTGGCGATGACTGTATTGGCGATGATGATGACCGTAGATTTTTCTTGTGGCCAAGCCACAAAAATCATGTTTCAACTGTGTGCTTCTTGATATCAACACTACTGCTCTTGCCAGGGCACGTCGGGTATGGCATTCCCACCGAGCTCTTTGCTCCGTTCATCGAGGCGCGGTTTTTGGGTTTCCAGTGTTCCTTGAACGTCTAGTTCGGGGCTTCCGGGTGTGAATTCGCTCGACTCAGCTCGACCCTTTGGTTGCCGACGCTTGGAGAGCCATGTTGGTCTTAAGCCCGGCTACTATAGGCATGCACAAAAAGACGCAAGTAACATGTACGTCTTCACCTTGGTGATAAGGAGGCAGTGCTCTAGCAGACGCTACGAAGTGCATCTTCGAAAGGGGCCTGGTTCCGTGGCTCGGGATCGGTTCTGCGGCCTCTGTTTCAGGCCTGGAGCCAGGTCCTTCAGATGATGCAGCTTGGTTTAGGGTTTAGGGGACCGGGCTGCTGGACAACGAGGCCTGCTGCAAAAAAGGGGTTTAGGGTTTAGGGGTTTAGGGTTTGGTTTAGGGTTGGTTTTTTTGAGGGTTGTCTATTGCGCAGACCCAGACTAGGCAGCATCAGCCCTTGTAAGAATGAGGGCATGGCTTGGTGAAGCAACAGTGCCATATTACGCAGCGATCCTGCATGCCAGATTGTTCATCCAATCCCTTCTCGATGCAAAGGCACTGTACAGACTTTACTACTCGTTTGAGTATGTATACTCGGAAAATCGCGTGCTTTTGGTAGCTCAAGCTCAGGTTGGTAGAAGAGAAAGCTGCCAGCTCATTGCGATGGTCGCTGACTCTGTGCCTTGCCTCGAACTGGGGACAATGCTGTCTATTACCCTTCCGGTTTCTCTTGCTTTTACTAGTCTGGCTGTGTTTACATACGAAACCAGGCGGTCTGCCAGTCTTCACAAGATCTCAGTAAACTGCAGAACAAAATCCCGGATCACCCTGAGGAGCGCCTCTTGAAACCTCTGGCCCCAAAAAGCCCTAAACCTGCTCACCTACATTAACCCTGCAAGGTGGGCACGTCCTTGCTGGTAGAAGGCAAATTTACACCCACGTTGTAAGACTTACTAAAATCCCGTAAAACACATCCTATAAGGGTATAAAACTCCTTTGAAGGGATCAAATCAAAACGTTCTCAACCAGGATATCGAAGATCTTGGTGAGGACCATCCTAGAGGCTGGGTGGGGCATGGCCGCTTTGGCGCCCGGGCTTGGCTTGAAAGGTGTGGTGTTGCTGACTTGAGATTCTCTAAGGGTCGTCGTTCAGGGGTTTCGGGGCGTAAGGCAGGTACACGTTTTGAGTTTGCCGGGTTCGCGTTCGTGGAATTTGGTTGCCGGAGGCCTTGGGTGGTGTTGTGCTGCAGGGTGTGGGTGTTGCTTCGGTTCCCAACAACGGCGGCCAGGATGTCTGGCAGCTTTCATGTCAGGTTCTGTTACTTCCCAGGCCCGGAGGGCTGCGACAGTGACATCGAGTGACCGAAGTTTGGGGATCTGGCGCTTGGATCCCATAGCCGATCAGATCAGAGAATCTCCTCCTACACAAAACCTGAATTTCCGCGGAGAAAAAGAAGCCAACTCTTAAGCTCCCGAAGTCCTATGCAAGGGCTCCACGATTGTGATGAAGGCCATCAACACGAACAGCGCGAAGCGCTTTCGGAAGGAGACTTGGATGCTTCTGAAGGTTTCCTTTTTTTGGAAACGGGCTCGGACGCACTGTTATCTATCAACAACAGATGCATGTGCGTCATGGTGTCTTAGTCCTGTAGTCTTCCGACTGCACGCCTCGGCTCGTTTTGAGCCTGACCGTCAGACCCAACGACCCAGCAGATTTTCGAGACATGATGGAATTGGCTTGCAGAGTTCCATTTCGAGACGTTGGACAACAAGTAGAACTCGGGCCATCTCCTTGATGAGCACCGGAGGTCAGGGCCAAAACTATGGGCCAAGGAATCCTAAACCCTTGAATCATGGACTCTTTGGATGTCCGAGGCCATCGCAATCTCCGGAAGATCGCAGCGAGCGATGGAGATGCTACGAATCACAGTGGCCTGCTTTGGACTGTGGGACGTAGCTTCCACTGGTCGTCGGGACCATGTTCGTGCCATCACGGAAGGGCCATAGACCAAGATCACAACATGTAGTCCCACTCTCGGAACTTGTGTTCTGGCCGTCACCACAAGACGAGACCTGCAGCCTCAGGAGCCCTTGGCACCTTTCTGTGACAGAGCGGGGCGGCGGCAACACCCCTTCCTGGATGAAATCCCGAAAAGAGAACTAGACATGAGAATTACATGTGGGTTTTGGAACATGTGCCAACCTGCTTAGAAATGGAATCAACTATAATGTATTTGCAGCACAAGTCGGCAGTTGGTAGTGGTACTCATCGCACAGTCGTGTTAGTGCTAGTAGTCGTCGTTGTCGTTGTAGCAGAATCAGGGGCAGCGGGGGTATGGTATATAATATAGATCCCACTGCAAGGTCGGAACCCAGTCTATCTCTCCATTGGACTGGGCGATCAAGATTCTTGGGCGAAGTCTTTGCAGAGCCAGCTACCACGACTGGCTACTAGTACTTCGGGGGTTCCTTAGTCTTGTTATTATGGTATAATATCCACCACAACCCTAATCTAATCATTAAGGCCCCTATATTATATAGTACCCTGACAGATCCCTTGTAGTAGCCCCTATAGAACCCCTTAAAGGAACCGATTACTACTCACGCCAGAAGATACCGACCACCTTTCCACTGATCATGCATGTCTGGAGCGCCGCAACTTGGTCTCAGCCATTATAAACAGATTGTTGTGAAGTTTCTCTTTGTGAAGCAGCTCTCTGCTGTATGAAGCAACTCCGTGTAAAAGCATTATGTAGGAAGTAAGCCGTGTGAAATAGATGTATACGAACAGTCACTGCAGCAGTGACGCCGGACCGTAGTCAACTAGCAAGAAGTCGGTTAGCGCCAACGACTTGTTGCACTTGTTGCTGCAAGCTCAGGTCGTAAAAAGGAACCGTTATCCGATTTTATCCGGAACTTTCAAGGCCGCTATAGCTACTATGCGCTCTTCAACAGCCTTCGCTGAGGAGTGGCAGCTTCCAAGTCGCCAGGGCGATGATTGACGACTTGCTGACCATCCGCGCCTCGCCCAATGTGGAAGGGTTTTGGGGTTTCTCTATAAGGGATCCATAAGGGACCTGGGTTTAGGATTTAGAGTTGAGGATTGGATTGGGGCTTCGAGGTGGTTGCTGCGCACGCGAATGTCTTATCGCCGGAAGTGGCACATGTGCAGAACTGCACATGTGCTTTGTGATGGGCCTTGAATCCCGGCTGGAGGAAAGGGTGCTCTGACGACCGAATCATCATCTGCTCCTCAAAGCCATGAACAAAGCATGCATAAACCCTCAGGTGGCGACCGCGACAACTACTACTATGGAGCCTTGGAGCAAGAGCTGAGACCTCTGGAGATAAAAGCACGGGCTATGTCATTCTATGTCTTCTGTACGTGCTGGCTGTGTGTGTGTGTCTCATGCTTCTTATGCACGCATACAGCAGATATGTAGCATGTGCTCTTGTATGGTTTGCATATGCATGTGTGCGTGTTGATGTCATTATATATCTATATTATATCTATATATCTATATATATATATATATATATATATATCCATATATATATATATATATATCTATATATATAATATAAACGCATAAACTATATATACGTATAAATACATATATAACAGACACACACACACACACACACTTGTTTTCGTCAGTCTATGCATATAGACGGAGAAGAGAGAGAGAGAGAGAGAGAGAGAGAGAGAGAGAGAGAGAGTCAGAGACATACATGTCACTTTGGTGAATCGCTGCATGGTATCCTCCTTCGTCTTTTCTTTGGTTGTGTCCATCTTACCCATGCCTTTACGGACCTCTCGAGTTTTGCTAGTCAACTGTCTCGACCAGTGAGCTAGCATGGCTACAACTGCTTCCTTCTTCTGACCCCACAGCACCCCAGAAAACCTAGATCTATAACCGTAGACTTCTTCGCGTCCAGGCTGCGGTGCGCTATTCGACCGACATCCCGACATCTTGAACATCCTCAGTTGGAGCCTCAAGAAGGGATGTAGGCGTTAGGAACCAGGGTTTATGTGGTTTAGGGTTGCGGGAAAGAGTCGGAGATGGCCATTTTGCTTCGCGACACAGACGAGAAGCTGAGCTAACGACCTCAACCTGTGCATCGTGCTTGAACCTAACTACCTGAACCTACAATCCCTCTCTTTCGGATGGAAGCTGACATTCATGCCGAAAGCGAACTCATTGAAACCGAAGGGAAGGCATTGTGATGACATTTCTCATGGTTCCAGTAAGAATCAGTAAGCAGCAAGACCAAAAAGAACACTGATCGTACTCGTGCCATAGCATTGTGGCAAGCTGAGGCGCCACACGGGGCCAGGGGCTGCTTCCGGCTCTGCTAAGTGGCATCTCGCCCAGAAGTTGGAACATGCGACCCATTGTTTCGATTTGGGGTGTGCTCGTGTGGTGTGTGCACGCAGGAAGGACAAAAACACATCACCGCTTGGATGTTTACTGCAAGGCCTTCCCGTCTTGATCAGCTATGGTTTTCCGCCGCTGCGAATCATACCATTTCGTCGGTTGGCATTCATTGACGTCCTTCGCGCAGATTGCTGATCCGTGCATCTGCTGAAGGTGAGAACGAGGAGGAAGTGGTGGATATTGATGACGATGGCAGTTAAGTGACAGCAGATGATGGAGGTTAAAATCGCTTTATGGTGATGTGAATGATAATTAATAAAGATATCACAGACCATGACACTGTTACCGCACCAAACGATGAGGATGCGAAGTTGACACTCCTCCGCCGTTCCGGGATGCACGGCATGGAGGACGACGGCTACAGATGCGTATAGGGCCTGTTGAATCAAGTCTGAGGTCTCCTTTGGCGATCGAAGGTCACTCAGAACAAGACGAGTCTCGGCTGTTTGAGGGCAGCAGCGACCCCTCGGACCCCAGGAGGTCCACATGAAGACATTGCCATCGCAAAGCCATGGTTTTGGTCGGGCGCCTGCTCCCTGCATAAAGGGTATCTGGCACGCACACATGTACATGTTCTTGTGCATGTACATGTATGTATGTATATATATATATATATAGATAGATACAGATATTCACCAGTAGCCTGCCATATAACGGAACTGGAGCCGTAAGGGAACACGGCATGAGAGAGGCTATAGCAGCCAGGAGTGTAGGATCTGATCTGGGTCTGCCCAGCCTCTTAAAGTCATGCCAACAAGCCAGGCCCGAAGCTAAAAGTTCTCAAGAGAATATTCCAGAACGGTGATGTACTGATGTACCGTAGATCCGTCCATGTCTATCTATCTATATATATATATATACACGTGCGTATAAACGTATTTATATATATATATGTATATATATATATATATACATGACTCCAAGATCTCTAGGCCCTAAACCCTCACATGCCTCGCCTGGATTGTCCGAGTGTGAGCGCCGAAACCCTTTGTGAGAGCCCAGTGGCTCCATCGTAGTGCCGCAGCAAATAAGAGACCCTCATGACCGAATTGTTTTCTTTCGTAGCGCAGATGCTGTGCCTGCGGTTGTGGCCTCGAACCTTGCTGCGGTAAGTATGCAGCTCATGCCCCAGCAAATGTGGTAGTTCCTTTTAAGGGGTCTCTAGATTAAAGGATCCCAGCATTTAATGTCGTGTGTGTGTGTGTGCGTGTCTATATATAGGTGCAGTATTTGCCGGAACTCCCAGTCGCAATCGCAGTCATGCCGAAGACTTATAGAACTCCAGATTCCAAATCCGCAAACCTTCCTCGAGATCTGAGGAGGCGCGTGAACTACTATGTCAAGCACTTGATCCAAGATCACGAAGGCCTCTTCAATGCCAAGCAGATCTCGGTGATAATCAAGACCGGGGCCGCTTGATGAGAATCAGTGAAAGCTACCTTTTTTTAACGAGGCGGGCAAACAGCAACCGTAGGCGAACCGTGCTAGCAAACCACCATGGCCGTCGTTTTCTCCACCACCACCATCACAGTGTAGACACATTGTGACATTGAGAACAGCTATCACTATCTTTTCCTCTCCCTCACTGCCTACGCTCACCATTGGTTAGTAGGGAATGGAGGAATGGGATACAATTATAATTACTATTAGTACCATTCTTCCATTCCCTACTAACCAACGGTAAGTACAAGGACCCGAAGCTCATGCGCCACCCAGTGGTGAGCTTCGTTTTCAACATGCTCTGGTCACGCCTGGCCAGCATTGAGTTCCTGAAGAGCAGGCCTTGCCTACTATTGGGGACTAAATCATTACCAATACTAGTTTGGGGGTTCCTTTTAAAGGGGTCGATACGGATTCCTCTAAGGGGCATTATGGGGGGTGAGTATAGGGGCCTAGATAATTACCAATACTATTTTGGGGTTCCTTTTTGTAATTGTGGTATATTGGGCCCCAAAGCCCTATTCTACTTCTTAAGGCCCCTATAAGAAGCTGGGAGGTTCTGCTCTCTCCCGCCGACTTACGTCAACACATGGCCTTAGAGTTTAGGGTCTGTAGAGATCCTAGTGCTAGTATTCATAAGGTTGTCAGTATCAATAATGACGAACGGTCATGTCAACAATCATGTCAGGGTACGGCAGTTCCAGCCCAATCTCAGAGGCTTGTTTTTTTGCATAGGAAGAGTCTCACCATGGAGGTTGAGGAGGTTCCCTGTTCTGATCCGCGCACCGCACGTTTCCAGGTATAGCTTGGGTTGTCAAACTTAGAGCGGCCGCATCACCCGAAGCACTCGCAGTGCCTGCATCGGCCTCGCTGCCGGTGTCCCAGCAAGCTCTTCCTGTTGTTGGGCTTTGAAGACCTGGCAGAGATCCACCTCCGAACCAGACGCTTCAGCAAGCAGCCTGGACTTGCTGACAACTCGGTCGAAGTTCTTATCCGGAACATTGGCCGTGAAGTTGCACTTGGGAGCTTCAGAAAATGCGGGACCCTAGTTGAGAACCCCATAGCAGGATGCTGGTTGAAAGGACCCCTAAGTCGGATCCCTATGTTCCTACCACCTCCCATTCGCATATTGAAAGATGGCTAGCCGCAGAGTTTGGCAGCTCTTCAGAGCTAGCTTGGTGCCCGTCTCAGAAGCCTAATGTTGGGTTTGAGTAGTTACATATCGCATCCCTTTGTAGTCCTTTCATAATCGTGGTATGACGAATTCCCGAACCGTATCCCGTTTGTGTTTCACCCCTAAAATTGCCTTTGAAAAAGCCACGAAGAGTCCAGCATCTATCTTATCTCACCCTCATCTAGAATCCAGACGACTACATTGCAAATTGTGCAGGGTCCTCTTCATGATCCAAGTGGTCATTTTCGTGCTCGCCCAGAGCATCCTGCCGCGCGTGGCACCGAAGAGGGAGACGGAAGTACTTCGAATTCTGCTTTTCTCATGCCTGGGCCCTGGCTGTTCTCGGCGATGTACGGAGTCACGAATTGTCAACTAAGCAGAAGACGAGACAGGAACTTTACGGGAGGAGTAAAATCCCCCCTAACATGAATAGACATCTCCACTGTCCTACTTTGCCGGTAAGCCGTATCACCAGTCTACGTGTCTGTGGTTTAATCTGTGGGCAGCTTCACGCCAAACCCCTAATTAATTAATGTTTTTTTGCTCAAGTTGCTTAGTGTCCCCATGTCAGTGCTTTGAGTACTGCTTCAGCCTTGTTGAGCCTGTTCCGAGGCCGCTGTTCGATCTACTTGTTTGACATGTTCTTCCTTCTCTGCACCCATATCAAGTACATCGTCAATGACATCAGAGACCGCTCCTTCATTTTTGTGCTCGGCATACCTTGCCCAGCCTACCTGAAAGACCTCGCATCTGCCGTGCAGCTGGCCATGGTCATCGATCTAGTGCTGCTTGGTTTCTTACTTCTGGTACTAGTATCGCTCCGGGGTTGTAGAATATCCTGGAGGAAGAAACAGGGAAAAGCAAAGACACACTATAACATGACATTGTTGCGCCCGAGCATCGGCCAGTTTGTCACTTTGCTGGTTGACGCGCGAATGTGAGATGATCTGTCAAGGGTGGCGATAGGGTCATTAGGTCTGAGTGAGCTCCCAGAATAGCTCCGGAAGAAATTCAAGATTTGCATCTGTTCGAGCAACCTAACTCAGGAACCTGACCAAGCAATGTGTGCTTGGTTCGAAACCCACAACAGTAGGATCCGTGCCATCAGCTCTCATAATTGGAACGGCCTCGAGAAGCGAATAGCTTCAGCATAGGAGGTGTGGCATTTCAGTGTGTCGAATTCTGAACACAAGCCGCAAAGAAGCACAGCAGGTAGCTGTGGCCGCATGGTTAGAGTTGCAATCGGGCTATACTGAGCTTGCATTGCTCGCGGGCTTTAACAAGCGTAGCAGGTGGCAAGCTGCGCTAGACCCAAACAAAGGGGAACAACTTGCCAACTAGGGCCCTAGGCGGCTTTGAGTCTATTTGTCTGCGCGCTGGACCCAGCAACTCATTGGCACAATGCTTCATGAACAAGCGAATTAGGTTGCATCGTGTGCCTTCCTTTGAGACAGATCGTTTTTGCATCAGTGGACATTCGAGGGGTTGCCACATCCCCGTAAAGTAAGACATGCAGTCAAGACTCGAGATCACCAGCGACTAAGTAAAGTGCCGTCGACATAGCGGCTAAGGTTCATGTGCGCGCAGGAGCCCATCTTTCATTGCTTGGGCAACATGTGCCTGGCCTTTGTGGTCGGAAGATAAGGGGTGGTAAAGGTTTTGCTGCTCCAGATCTCTAGTGCATTTCTTTCGAAGTCATGGCTCCGCGAGTCACAAGAGGTTGATGCAAGGAAGTTTCGATCTAGATATCATAGGGTTGAGACATCCCACTCCTGACAACCCTGCGCGGACGCTGAACCCAAACTCCGGACCGCCCCTTTATCTTCAGTGTCCGAGAAACAGCACCGCAAGTCTCACATCAATGACCCTTGCTTCGTTCTTCCAATGCCGATCACATGGTGTCGAAGCGTCGCTTTGCAGCTCCAGTCATGCATGGTTGGTGTAGGTAGTGCTGGCTTTGCGATCTCTCCGTAAACAAGCTCGAAGCCCAGATTGCCCAACTTGCGAGACTCCAAACCCAGAAACCACAAAGCCCACAAAGCCTGAACCCCATAGAGTCATAGAGTTTCAGGTTCCGTTGACCTGCACCCAGAAATAGACTTGACGAATGATAGCATCCCACAAACCGACCTCTAGAACACCTCGACTGGAACCACGGAAGGATGTACGGTCGCAGAATACCCAAACTGCCCGAGATGTCAGTACTTAAGCACATCCTGGCCAACAGGATAGAACTGCCATCGGGACGGGAGAATACTGGACATGATCAAAGGCAGATGTCGTCGTGAGTCCTGCCCCATGATCTTCATCCTCATGCTTGCCATCATGCTTATAAATGATAACCATGACGACCCTCACCATCATCTCCATTATGTGCGCAACCACAGCAATATCTGCGATAGCGGGTTCAACTTGAGCTCAAAACGGAAACCTCGAAGCTGTGGGAGCCTCAGGCATGGAATCTACGAGGGCGCAGGTCTTTTCTCGACTCACTGTCCGGAGGCGCAGGGCCAAACCACCGCAGCTCTGGCTAGTTCTATGCCTTTTTTGGGTAAGATGCGGCGATGACTCTGTCGAACAGTAAACACAGCAGGTGGTTTGCTTGCGCATGAGGAACAGGCATTTTCACTTTGTGGACCGCCTGGCTATGTGTCTGTACGTTATCAGGCAGCAATTGCTAGTGTCATCAGCACTGCAGCTGTCGTCATTTTGGGCGCTGTTGTCGTAGTGGTAGACGTAGCGGTGGTAGAATCAGAAGCTAGAGCGGTGGCAGTTGTGGCAGGCAGCAACAATAACATCATGCTAGTCGTTGTCGTCGTCCTGGTCGACTCCGCCCTTGTGGTCAGTAGCAGCAGTAGCAGCAGCAGTTGATGTTCAACTACCCGCAGTGCTCGGAGCAACAGACCTGAGTGCACTTTTTGCAAGCAAGGTATATTCGGTCTTCTCTCAGATCGGAGTGTTGCCGCTCAGAGTCAGAGTAGTGCTGGTGTCATGGCAAGGGTCCATCAGTTTGGCATTCAGATGGGAAGAGATGTGTACAATTCCGGTACCGGCCTTTGCTGAGGAAGGAAAGGACATGCATATTTGGGATGCTCGCGAATTCAGTAGAGTGGAGTTTCTGGCACATCAACCAGCCAGGTTGGAAAGGGTTGCATAGGCTTTGAGATAGGTTTCGGTGCTTTCGCAGACACATCCGGTAGCCACCTTGTGAGTCATGTACTCGGGGATTCGTTGAGCAGAGGCTCCCATACCCCGGTAGAATCTCAACGAAACAGGAGCCTGCTGATATTCCTCTCTTGAATTCAAGACGGGGTACACAAAGATACTCCGCTCGCCAGGCCAAATCATTCGAGCTTGCGGACACTCGACTACCCCGCAATAGGTCGTAAGACACGCTTTGTTCAGTGGGTCTAAAATTTTGTTCTGCCGATGTATGCCTCAGAGAATGAGGGCGATCCGAAACAAGACCGACCCTCTGAGCACTAGGATATGTACCCGGGTCCCAGGAGCCTTCGCTGTCTGGATGGAGTAGTACCACTGAATCCCCAAACCGGCACAGAGAGCCTTTCCTGGACTGCCTTCCACAGGCTCCACTGGCTGCTTCTGGTCGACTGCTGTATTTTCTCTTTGCGTCTGAGCTCCTATTTCCTCACCTGCTTCTACGTGTTGGCTGAGCTGCTGTACTTCTTGAGTGCCTTGAGCTTTTATCAGCATCAGGAGTTGGGCTCGCCAGGTACCTCCAAACAACACTAGCATTCACAGACAGATGGTAGTAATGGGCATTGTCAGTGTGATGATGTTCAATACGACTACAACGCACAGACCCGACACAGCAGAACCCTTACATGTCGGGCCCCCTTACCTCTATACTTACGACATACGGTGACACATGTAGATTGGGTGTATGTGTATAAGCATGTGTACAGACACATACCGCATTGTCCGCCTGACCCATTTTCTTGTTCCGGTATTCAGGGGTTTTGCCACGTCCTGTTTCTATGGGTGACTCTTGTATCCTCACCCCCTAACCCCGCATAACAACACATGCGGGTGGGCTTGAAGCCCGGGGGTCAGAACCGACCCCTATGCCCGGGAGAGAGAAAGAGAGAGAGACGCCCTAACCGAACATCTCACCCGCTCGATGTAGATGCCTCAACCCAGTGCGCGCTTGCGTGCGGGGGGGTAGACTCGCTACCTCCTTTGGCTGTGTGGAAGAAGAGACACGCACAGTGTCTCTGTGCGTGTGTGTGTGTGTGTGTCAGTCTGTGAGTCTGTGTGTTTGTGCGTTTGAGTGCGTGTGCGTGTGTCGATTCGTATGTTGTAGGTTTCACAGCACATGCATTCTTATTATCGTACGTGTGTTGCGGTAGAGAAAGCTTCCTATATCCGTCATATCTCCATCTGCTTGTTGGTTCAGTTCTATCCGTCTGTAAGCAGAACTGTGGCGCAGGATGTTGACAGTGCGCGTCTTCGGTAGGTGCTAACTACCGTCCATCAGTGAGCCCTTAATCCAACACCCTACATACACCATGAACAGGGCAACGTCGTGAGCTTGTTATATGTTTGTCCGGTGTTCCATTGCTCAGGCTGGGCTCACGCTAAAAAGGTTGAGGGTGCAGACATATGCGCACGTGTGTTTATGCAGGCTTGTTTTGGTTGTGTTTGAGTGGTAACCGTAGTGGTAGTCGTAGTCGTAGGTGGTAGTAGTAGTGGTAATTAGTTATAATGGTAGTGGTGATAGTAGTAGTAGCAGCAGTAGCAGCAGTAGTCAGCAGTAGTAGTAGTAGTAGTAGTAGTAGTAGAAGTAGTACTAGTACTAGTACTAGTACTAGTACTCGTACTCATACTCGTATACTCGTACTCGTGGTCGTGGTCGTGGTCGTGGCAGTGGCAGTGGCAGTGGCAGTGGCAGTGGCAGTAGTAGTAGTAGTAGTAGTAGGTAGTAGTAGCAGTAGCAGTAGCAGTAGTAGTAGTAGTAGTAGTAGTAGTAGTAGGCGGCCTCCCCCCTACCAACTACCCCTTTTGCATGCATTGCTTTGGTGGGGGGGCGTGGGGGGGGGGGGGCTGATAACGTGCAGGCAGCTTTGAACAGTTATGACGAGTTTTCGCTAAAAGCCCTCGCAAATGCAAAAGACAACGTAGCAAAGTCCAGAGGTAGGCTTGGCCACTAGAAAGAGGGCTGACGTCACGAAAGCACTGTAAATACCGAGTAAAATGGCTCTTCCGGAGATGTTGTTCGGGGTGTCGACGTAACAATGCCGTCATCATTCTTCCCGCACCTTCCCACCACCCCAAAACAAAAAGTCCAGAAAACGATCCCGGAGTTTCAAAACTCGGAGGTGATTTTTGAGGCTCCATAAGATGTTGCTACATGCCGAAAGTGCTGTAAATATCGAGTAAAATGGATGTGTGTTACAAGCGTATGTAACACGAGATAGTGGGTAGGGGGGGTGGCTAGTAGTAGTTAATGTAGCAGTAGTAGTAGTAGTCGTCGTCGCCGTAGCAGCAGCAGGAGTGGTAGTAGTAGTAGTAGTAGTAGTAGTAGTAGTAGTAGTAGTAGTAGTAGTAGTAGTAGTAGTGGTAGTAGTAGTGGTAGTAGTAGTAGTAGTAGTTGTGGTTGTCGTAGTAGTAGTTGTCGTAGTAGTAGTAGTAGTAGTAGTAGTAGTAGTAGTAGTAGAAGTAGTAGTAGAAGTAGTAGTCGTCGTAGTCGTCGTAGTCGTCGCCGTAGTAGTAGTAGTAGTAGTAGTAGTAGTAGTAGTAGTAGTAGTAGTAGTAGTAGTAGTAGTAGTAGTAATAGTAGTAATAGGAGTAGGAGTAGGAGTAGGAGTAGGAGCAGGAGTAGGAGTAGTGGTAGTAGTAGTAGTAGTAGTCGTCGTCGTCGTCGTAGTAGTAGTAGTGGTAGTAGTCGTAGTAGTGGTAGTAGTAGGTAGTAATACTTAGCAGTACGTAACCGCAACTATGATGTTGATGTTATTGTTGCCGTTGCTGTCGCTGCTGTTGTTGTTGGTGTTGGTATTCGTGTTGGCATTGGTGTTTGTGGTGTTGGTGGTGTTGGTGGTGCTGGTGGTGCTGGTGGTGCTGGTGGTGCTGGTGGTGCTGGTGGTGTTGGTGGTGCTGGTGGTGCTGGTGGTGGTGGTGGTGGTGGTGGTGGTGGTGGTAGTGGTGGTGGGTGGTGGTGGTGGCTGGTGGTGGGTGGTGGTGGCGGCGACGG